GGGTTTTTACAAAATAACTGGTATGTCGATGTAAGATGACTACAACATGCTGACCTTTCCCTTGTGGATCTATAACGGTGGTTGTTGACAAATACGTTGTTTATATGACGAATGGCGTTGACACGTGTGAACATATAAAATCTAACCACGACGCAAGTGCATTTTAAATAATTTTGTATCAAATATTTTGTGTGTAAAACAATGAAGTATATTAGGTATGAGTTAATTCAAAGAATGTTATAAAAAACAAATATTGTCCTTAAACCACTTTAACCACAAGGCTACCCGACCGCCCCAGATCACGGAGACAAGTCTATGATTTAATGGATTACACTGATACCCAACATATTCCAAGACTTTTGCTTTTAATAGATTTTGAAAATGCTTTTGATTCTATAGAATGAAAATTCATTCAGAATGTACTTAATTATATTAATTTTGGACCGTCATTTAGAAACTGAAGCAAATTGTTTGTTTGTTAGAGTCTGTATTTGATTTAGTTGAAGACTCATATGGGACATGGGGTCAATATTTTGATATTTCACTTACTTTCGTCGTAACCAAATATGTGATAAACCAGGTATAAAAACAACCGAAAACATGGAAAATGTACTTTCAAGTAAATATTGAATCGCTGAAATGTGAACCGAAAATGTCTAAAACTAAAATGGAAATGTCAAAACCGCGGTGGAAATACTTTTCTGTATTTTCATTTTAGTTTTTGACATTTTCGCTTTTGTTTTTGACATTTTCGTTTTTGACATTTTCATTTTCGTTTTTGACATTTTTGCTTCACTTTTCAGCGATTCAGTATCTACTTTATACATGATTTATCACATATTTGTATGACAAATCGTGTTAGTTTGCAAAAGGTTACGATAACAGTAAGTGAAATATCAAAATATTGAGAAAACAGACTCCATGTCCCTTTGGTCTTTTCAGCCTTCGTACCTGTATTTCATAACAAATCTTTATTTACTGATCGAATGCAGGCATGACATATTTATGAACTCTGCGGCACAGTTACATATTGGTTTGTTGGTTTGTTGTTTAACGTCGCACCCAGCAATATTCCAGCTATATACGGCATTGGACTCAAAGGTTAAAACTATACTGAATACCCTGAGAAAAATCAACACTCAGTTTGAATAATGTGATCATGAGTTAAATATTACGACAAGCATAGTCAGCTCTTACGGCAAGCATGGGTTGTTGAAGACCTATTCACCCGGATCCTCACGGCCGACATATAAGGACCAGACCATCGATAAAATAAAACTATTTTGGTCCTTAGCAAATGTTGAGTAGTATATTTGCACGTCTTTCCAAATTTGAGGCATTAGTAACGGAATTACGTCCGATGCAATTCCTAATTCTGTGTTGTACCATGTGTTCTAGTTTGTTTCAGATGAACAATAATTGTCTTGCCTTCGCATGTGTTTGTGATGGGTGCCACCCATGGAGTAGTATACGTTCTATTTCCTAACACCAGGGGCGGTCGGGTAGCCTAGTGGTTAAAGCGTTCGCTCGTCACGCCAAAGACCCGGGTTTTGATTCCCGACATGGGTACAATGTGTGAAGCCCATTTCTGGTGTCCCCCGCCGTGATATTGCTGGAATATTGCTAAAAGCGGCGTAAAACCATATTCACTCCCTCACTCACTCACTCCTAACACCAGTTTCATCACTATTTGATAGTGATTCATAAACACACGCTCATGATATATTCGGAATCGTACAATCCACTCTGATTTTGGCAGAGATTTCTTATGATTGCGGAAAGGGTTTTGATGCTTTTATTAAGATACAAAACGTCGACAGGGGATAATCAGTCTTGATTATCACCCGAAACAGATTCAATTGTGTGTAAATAATTGTGAACATTATATGAATGGATAAATGAAAATCAGTGATGACACCAGGTGTTCACGAAAAGGGTGAGCACACCCAGCTCTACCGGTAGCACCTACCACCTGCCAATTGCTTGAAGTTACTTACCGTATTCGACGTAATAAGCACCCCACTCTAATAAGCACCCACGGCGACATTTGCTCATATATTGGCTTGTGAACAGTCCCAATTGGCACCCTTCTGATTGATCATTGTACACAAGACTTAATTTTTCGCGTATAATACGCACTCGTGTGTTATATGTACCCTTAATTATGGGCAATTAAATTCTGGAAAAATATATCTGTCGTACATAAACATTTCAGGCTGTCAGCATAAACCACGAAATTTATCTTTCAACTCTGTTTTTTTCCACCAAAATAATATTCTCTCTAATAAGAGCCCCCTGTTCCTAATTTTGAGAGCGCCCTGGGCTCTTATTACTTCGAATACGGTAACCCTGTCCGACAGGGGTACGTGCCTTGCTGGTATCCTGCGATAGGATATCATTGTTCGTACTGAGGACCAGGAATGGGGGTTAAAACATTATATATAAAAAAGTAAAAGTAAAGCAGTATCGGGATTGAAGTTGAATTACTGATGGAGGGAACACGTCCCAGGAGCCAGAATGTGCTGTGTTGAGTTGAGTACCTTCAGCATGATCATATGGTTGTGTGTTCGAATCCAAAATTCGCCCTATGGTCCTTGGTTTGTAATCATTATTCGTGATCATTGATGGTGCACGTGGGTTTCACCAAAGTGAGCGAGTGAATTGGGTTTAACCCCGCTTTTAACAGTAGTCCAGTTACATCACATCGTTTTAGCTAAGCTTAATGCAGGTCTCAGACGTTTACCACTTCGGTGAAACCCACGAGCACGGTGCTGACAAACCTAGAAACATAATCGGGGCGAACCGGTATTCGAACCCACAATCATAGGCTTCTGGCGTGCCCAAGGTATGCAACTCTGCACAGCGAATATCGGCGCCCCAGACGACTGGGCCACCAGTGCTTCAGTTTCAGTTGGCACAAAGCTTCCATTTTGTACATAACCAATCTTTATGGCACCTGCCCATTGAATCTACTGGCATTAAAGGAAGCTTCATTAATATTTTAAGTTTACTTTTAAAGGTATGTCTGAAATAACAGAGATTTATCTGTACTAATCTGGTAATACAAACACTGCCAACCTCAACATGCAATATACCGGAACATTGCGACTCTGCCCATTTTTGCTGCTGGGTTTAGTCTAAGCGCAAATGTGCCTAACTAAAAGAATTGTCAACTCATTACATAATGATTCACAAATATTTCCACAACATATCATACATATTCCAGGTGCTATCCACATCGGAACTTACAGTATCATCATACAGAATGATTGAATACATTTTCATTCTTATTGGTTGTGTTTTCGCGCATACATTCATGGATAGGGGGAGTGAGTGAGTGAGTGAGTGAGTATGGTTTTACGCCGCTTTTAGCAATATTCCAGCAATATCACAGCGGGGGACACCAGAAATGGGCTTCACACATTGTACCCATGTCAGGAATCGAACCCGGGTCTTCAGTATGTTTTAACGCCGCTTTTAGCAATATTCCAGCAATATCACAGCGGGGGACACCAGAAATGGGCTTCACACATTGTACCCATGTCAGGAATCGAACCCGGGTCTTCAGTATGGTTTAACGCCGCTTTTAGCAATATTCCAGCAATATCACGGCGGGGGACACCAGAAATGGGCTTCACACATTGTACCAATGTCGGGAATCGAACCCAGGGCTTCGGCGACCACCCCTTGATAGGGGGGAGAGTCTTCTTGCAGGTTACCAAGGTGGCGAGTGATCCGGGACGTGAGACAGATGTTGGTTTCAGGGACTGCTTCCAAACACAATTTTTTGTCAGTGAAACCAGGACAGAACAACATTTTTTTCTTTTCACAAAACATTTTCCAGGAGTCCAGCATTTCCAGACAGGCAATTTTGCAGATTAAAACCTCAGGACATTTTTTTCTCTGTGGAACAAATTATTTTTTTCAGAATATTCTGCAGCCCCTAGTATTATCTCAATACTTGCATCAGTCCACATCCTCCTTTTCAAAGTTGTTCTTCTATGAAACAAACAGGCTCTCTGGGATTCCTTGTATTTAACATACTCTCTCCAGTATGTTGTCCTGTGCACACTCCGTTATCTCAACACGTTCCATGCAATAAAGATTTACAAATATGATATTTCAGATAGAAATAAAAGGTTTTATTTCAATGCATGATTTCAGTTGAGACAATATGTACATCATATTTACATGTATATACAGGTATACAAACAAAACAGAGAGAAGCACCTGACCAAGCAAATACACTTGTGTGCAGCTATCATATCTCCTAATGACCATCAACCCCAGTCTTTCTAACTATTACAGAAAGTTGTTTAATCCAGGGAATAGATACAGCTATAACATTTGTGTGCAAAGCACATTATCAAAACGGTCACAGAGTTCTCTTAAAGAACAATGACAATGATGCCTTGTGTTTGTTAGTTGTTTATCGCCACACTCAGCAATATTCCAGCTGTAGTCTGTAAATAATCGAGTTTCTGCCAGACAATCCAGTAATTGATATGAGCATTGATCTATGTGATTGGGGTATATGACATGCATCAACCAAGTCAGCGAGCCTGACCACCCAATCACAGAATATGATGAGAAATCCAATGTGACCACATTGGTGAGTGAGTTTTGTTCAACACCGCTTTTAACAGTATTCCAGTTAGTGATGGTCTCAGATGTTTACCACCTTGGTGAAACCCACGAACATAGGTATGGTACTGTCAATCCAAGAAACATAATCAGACGAACCAGCATTCAAACCCACTATCATAGGTTTCTGGTGTACCCAAGGGACGCAACTCTGCACAGTGAATTCCGGCACCTTAGACAACCTGGCCACCCATGCCCCCCACTTTGGATTTGTTTGTTCGTTTGTTGTTTAACGCCGCACTCAGCAATATTCCAGCTAGAGGACGGCGGTCTGTAAATAATCGAGTCTGGACCAGACAACCCAGTTATTGATATCATGAGCATCGATCTACACAATTGTGATACAATGACACGCATGAACCAAGTCAGCAAGTCTGACCCCCCAATCACATTAGTCGCCTCTTACGACAAGCATAGTCGCCTTTTACAGCAAGCATGGGTTGCTGAAGACCTATTCTAACCCGGATCTTCACAGGTCATGACTGCATGTACTAGTCCAGGCTTACACTGTTTCTAGTCCAGGATTACACTGTATCTAGTCCAGGCTTACACTGTTTCTAGTCCAGGCTTACACTGTTTCTAGTCTAGGCTTACACTGTTTCTAGTCCAGGCTTACACTGTTTCTAGTCCAGGCTTACACTGTTTCTAGTCTAGGCTTACACTGTTTCTAGTCCAGGCTTACACTGTTTCTAGTCCAGGCCTATACTGTTTCTAGTCCAGGCTTACACTGTATCTAGTCAAGGCTTACACTGTTTCTAGTCCAGGCTTACACTGTTTCTAGTCCAGGATTACACTGTATCTAGTCAAGGCTTACACTGTTTCTATAGCTAGTCCATGATAGTAGATACAATGCCACAGTTTTAACATGGATACCCCACTCAGTGCCAACCAGTTGTTGTTTATTCCTTTAATGCTGCATGTCAGGCAACAAGAACCATCCTTCAAAGTCTTTTGGTTGGATGCGGCCAGGCACAGTAAGAACCATCTTTTAACAATAGCATAACAGTAACAATAACAAGACATCAAACAAAAGTATATCCTTTCTAGATGAAGTACGAAAGGATATCTCATGATAAATGATATATGTACACCATCACAAACATGAACACAGATATTTGTACCAACTGTAATATGTGACCTTAAATGCAAAAACAGTTGTGTATGTTGGACAATCTTGTGCAAAAATATACATCTTGACTTGACATTCAACCCAGAGATTCAGTGCTTGTCATCAGACCACCTCATACTGTTACTCTCAACACTCATATAAACACACCCAGTGTAGGCATACATCAACATAACACCCATGTTAGCATGATATACACAATTAACTGAATAATGCTCTGGCATCATGTGACAGTGGGATTGTATACTTAGAGACCAGACATAAATCAGAGACTTGCATACTGTACCAGGAATTGCCATCGGGTATGAGCTCAGTTAGTTAGGTTAAACAATTTGAACTTATGTTTTTCAAGTTATCAAACTTCTGTGTGTTATGGGAACTCTGAGAGATATCACCATGACAACCAAACCTGGGAGCTCTGCATACTAATCGCCATGACAACCATTCCTGCATGTGTATCACCATGACAAACATTCCTGGGAAGTGTGTATAGAATACTGTGACAACCATTCCTGTGAACTCTGCATATATATCACCATGACAACCATTCCTGGGAGCTCTGCATATGTATCACCATGACAACCATTCCTGTGAACACAGTAGAAATACAACCATTCCTCAGAGAGAACAAGTTGGGTTTAACACAGCTTTGAAAAGTATTTCAGTCATAAGACAGTGTTATTTCTCGCTTCTCTATTGCCTCTGTTGTGTGTTGACATCCCAGTGAGACAGCTCGCACCACATCCTGTCCTTGTCTCTGTATCACATCCGCTCAGCAGCAGCTCCCTGCAATAAGACGTGGGGAAATTGAGAAACACTTGTCAGGTTTAACTCCCAAGAGAGGTTTGTCCATTACGGCTACACACAGCGTTAGAAACTGGCACTACAGTCTTGCCAAACAGCCCAATAGTTCAGGTATCATAAGGACGAGTAGAAATTTGCCCTTTTTAAGTTTGTTGCTCTATGGTATTATAAGGACTAGTGGACTAACACAGTTAGTTTCTAGTGCTGTATACACATTGTACTTGTCCGTGTCAACTATCTGTGAATAACAAGGCCCTAAACACCTGTCCTATGAAGGAACAAAGATGATGATGGAAGGTGAGTTACCTACCTGTCGTGTGCCCCAGTCAAGGTAGCTGTTACAGCCCTAAACACCTGTCCTATGAAGGAACAAAGATGATGATGAAAGGTGAGTTACCTACCTGTCGTGTGCCCCAGTCAAGGTAGCTGTTACAGCCCTAAACACCTGTCCTATGAAGGCACAAAGATGATGATGGAAGGTGCATCACCTACCTGTCCTGTGCCCCAGTCAAGGTAGCTGTTACAGCCCTAAACACCTATGATGATGATGATGATGGAAGGTGCGTTACCTACCTGTCGTGTGCCCCAGTCAAGGTAGTCATGTCGCGTGGCGGCCTGGTACTCGTCAACCAGCTCCTGCAGGACTTCCCGAGAGTTATCAAACTCATCCAGGTTGTCCTTGAAGATGGGCTCCTTCTTATACTGCTCCATAAAAGCCTCTCTCTTTCTCAGCTTGTCAAACTGGCGGAGGGTTCTATCAAACAACTGCAAGAAGATAGCAACAATTTCATATCAGTTTCTTTATTGTTAACAATATTTTGTAGCATATACCATGTTTCATGCAGGGAAGAGTGAGCACTGGTACTTTGAGAAAGTAATGAAAGCCTAAATCCAGAAATAATTATCTCCACTCGGAGCTTAAAATCTGCCTCTTCTTTAAATACACAATAACACCTATGACCACTGCTTGGGGATAAAATATGAGCTTGCTATAGCCAACCACATGCTATCTGTCTTGCATATATCCTGACTTGACTGTAGGTATTCTACTGCAAGGAGTCACATAGAGAACTTTCCTTAATATCAGTGAGTTGGGTTTAACACCGCTTTTAACAGTATTCCAGTTAAATCGTGGCGTGTCAGCTTATTGTGGGAGGAAAGCCCGAAGTGATGCAGGTCTCAGATGTTTACCACTTCGGTGAAACCCACAAGCATGGATATGGTGCTGACAAACCTAGAAACATAATCAGGGCGAACTGGGATTGAAACCCACAATCAAAGGTTTCTGGCATGCCCAAGGGACACAACTCTGCACAGTGAATCGCTGTACCCCCTCCTAAATATCAATCAAATGGGCATCCATGGACTTGGCAGCAAGCAAAAACTCAATTCTGTGGGTCAGCCGAGGTCAACTATCAGGGAGGACACCTCTGGTTAAATCTAAATTGTCTGCAGCTCATTCCGGACCATTGGCTTATGCAAACTAACTAGATTTGGAGAAAACAACTAGTCCTCTAAGAGTTTCACTTGTCTCGGACTAACGGACAAGTGGCTAAACCTGACTATGTCGGACTAACAGACTAGTGGCAATGTCCATTCCTGACTATGTCGGACTAACAGACAAGTGGCTAACCCTGACTATGTCGGACTAACAGACTAGTGGCTAACCCTGAATATGTCGGACTAACGGACTTGTGGCTGTGTCTATCCCTGACTATGTCAAACTAACAGACTAGTGGCTAACCCTGACTATGTCGGACTAACAGACAAGTGGCTAACCCTGACTATGTCGGACTAACGGACAAGTGGCTAACCCTGACTATGTCGGACTAACAGACTTGTGGCTGTGTCTATCCTGACTATGTCGGACAAACAAACTTGAACATACTAGAACATAAAAAGTCCATGTATTGTTGGACCTACATGAGAGATGCTTGTGTGGTTGGCCATCATGAGGCCGCTGACACGATGGGCCGTCTGGATGTAGGGAGACTTGCGTGACAGCGCCACCTGGATGCTGGCTGGACCCCAGGGGATGAACTGGGCCAGCTTCCGCTCTCGGATCCTCTGAAGGCTCTTGTGTACCTGCAGATCAGACAGGACAGTGTGAGTGAGTTCAACATTTAACAAACACAATTCTCGCAGATCCTCCAGAGGCTCTTGTGTACCTGCAGATCAGACAAGACAGTGTGAGTGAGTTCAACATTTAACAAACACAATTCTCGCAGATCCTCCGGAGGCTCTAGTGTACCTGCAGATCAGACAGGACAGTGTGAGGGGAAATGCAACAAACTCATCAATGAATTGACAGAACTTAGAGCAATATTCCAACAGGACACCCAAAGCATGACATTCAAACCTTGTACTCATTTTGGGAATCAAAACTGGGACATCAGTGTTACAAAATCAACTCTATAGATTGTCCCAGATGGTCCTCCTGTATGTGCCTCACCTGTGTGGGGTCCACCTCTCTCTGTATGTGCCTCACCTGTGTGGGGTCCACCTCTCTCTGTATGTGTCTCACCTGTGTGGGGTCCACCTCCCCCTGTATGTGTCTCACCTGTGTGGGGTCCCCCTGTATGTGTCTCACCTGTGTGGGGTCCACTAGTATGTGTCACACCTGTGTGGGGTCCACTAGTATGTGTCCCACCTGTGTAGGGTCCACCTCCCCCTGTATGTGCCTCACCTGTGTGGGGTCCACCTCCCCCTGTATGATGTTGAGAATAGAGATGTAGCAGTGGCTGGCCTGGCGATGTGCTCCCACCGGCGTCGACACCATCATGTTCTTGGGCTGCAGCAGCCGTCTCATCACATCCAGCACCGTGGTCTTCCTCACACTGGCCACCTGAATCAGTCAACAGTCAGGTAGGGATGCTTTCAAATATTGGAAATAAGTTAAATCTACTGTAAAACTATTGGTTTGTTTGTTTCTTTCTTTCTTTCTTTTTTAATGCCGCACTCTGCCATATGACGGTGGTCTGCAAATAATCAAATCTTGACCAGACAATCCAGTGATTGACATCATGAATATCAACCCACTCAAGTGGGATACAATGACATGCATCAACCTAGTCAGCGAGCCTGACCACCTGATCCCGTTATTCGCCTCTTATGAAAAGCATAGTCGCCTTGTACGGCAAGCATTGGGATTCTGAAGACCTATTCTACCCCGGATCTTCACAGGTACACAGCTGGTACATACCCTAAGTGGCACTCTAGAAGCTGATATAATGAGGATAGAGTTGACTTAATGGTGTCTAGTTCTTTATAGTTTCAATGCAACCTTTCAGTACAGATGCTAGCACCACTCAACTGGTCGTCTCTTTCCTCACAAGTATACATGAGAGATGACTGTGTTGTGACCCCAGTGAGTGACTGTCTACATGTTTGCAGGGGTTATGTCTATGCTCAGAGACATGTTTAAAGTATCTGTCGATTTGCTTTAATGCTTGACAGTTCATGTTCCGACAATATGTCCCTGCTTGTGAATGGCATCACCTATACCAGTATCATGCACCTGCCTGGTGTGTACATTGTGCATATTGCAATCAGTCTCACCTCACGATGAATCGGATGTACCCCTGACCACTTGCAGACTTGTATGCCAGCAGCCACCACTGACGTAAGGCTTACCTGAATCGTTTGTTTGGGCATGTACCCAGACATGAGGAAGTGGAGTCTGGGGTTTGGGATGAGAGGGGAGAGCCTCACCTGTTAGTCAGTTGTGAGGGGCGTGTGTCCAGTCATGAGGAAGTGGAGTCTGGGGTTGGGGATGAGAGGGGAGAGGCTCACCTGTGAGTCAGTTGTGAGGGCATGTACCCAGTCATGAGGAAGTGGAGTCTAGGGGTGGGGATGAGAGGGGAGAGCCTTACCTGTGAGTCAGTTGTGAGGGGCGTGTACCCAGTCATGAGGAAGTGGAGTCTGGGGGTGGGGATGAGAGAAGCTATCAGGCCAATCAGATCATTGTTCATGTAACCAGGGTAACGCAGAGTGGCTGTACTTGTTGACATCACAGTTGACACCTGTAGTAAATGAAATCATAAAAATAATGACATGAAGAACTGATTTCAGTGGATGTGCAAGTAGGATGACTCATCCCTCAGCCCTCATCTTGGTATATGAGCACAATTGAAAACAGGAAATGTTTACTCACCCAAAGATGATACCTTCGACATGGAGGAACACCTCAGTGACTAAACGTTTTCTGTGATGAATTGCAAATGTTTTCAAGGGAAGCTGCATGTTTTGTTTATTAGTGATCATATTTTTGTTCTCTTATTCTAACAACGTACAGACTGGATATTACACTTTCCAACACAGGCTTACAAAGCCTACACTGAACATTTTCAGTGAGTGAGTGAGTGAGTATTGTTTTACGCCGATTTTTGCAATATTCCAGCAATATCACGGCGGGGGACACCAGAAATGGGCTTCACACATTGTACCCATGTCGGGAATCGAACCCGGGTCTTCGGCGTGACGAGCGATCGCTTTAACCACTAGGCTACCCGACCGCCCCCTGAACATTTTGAGAATAAACCCCAAAAAGAAAACTTCATGTACATTCATGTACATTCTCATCGCACATGTGAGATTTGTTTAATTATGATTTATACTGTTTGGAAAAACTGGTGCTCCCACCTTTGTCTTCTCAATTTAAATAACAGGATATGAATGTTTAAAAACTAATTGTGTACTGAATAGGCACTTAATCAGATGACAATATTGTTACAGCAATTGACCAGGAGAGATCAACACTGAGTTAAATGCATCCCCAAAAAAGAAAACTTCATGTACATTCATGAAATAAAAATGTTTAAATCAAACAGGGCTGGAGTAGATTCTGGGAGCTACTAGATTATACCCCGCAGTAGATTCTGGGAGCTACAAGATTATACCCCGCAGTAGATTCTGGGAGCTACTAGACTATACCCCGCAGTAGATTCTGGGAGCTACTAGACTATACCCCGCAGTAGATTCTGGGAGCTACTAGATTATACCCCGCAGTAGATTCTTGGAGCTACTAGATTATACCCCGCAGTAGATTCTGGGAGCTACTAGATTATACCCCGCAGTAGATTCTGGGAGCTACTAGATTATACCCCGCAGTAGATTCTGGGAGCTACTAGATTATACCCCGCAGTAGATTCTGAGAGCTACTAGACTATACCCCGCAGTAGATTCTGGGAGCTACTAGATTATACCCCGCAGTAGATTCTGGGAGCTACTAGATTATACCCCGCAGTAGATTCTGGGAGCTACTAGACTATACCCCGCAGCAGATTCTGGGAGCTACTAGACTATACCCCGCAGTAGATTCTGGGAGCTACTAGATTATACCCCGCAGTAGATTCTGGGAGCTACTAGATTATACCTCGCAGTAGATTCTGGGAGCTACTAGATTATACCCCGCAGTAGATTTTGGGAGCTACTAGATTATACCCCGCAGTAGATTCTGGGAGCTTCTAGATTATACCCCGCAGTAGATTCTTGGAGCTACTAGATTATACCCCGCAGTAGACTCTGGGAGCTACTAGATTATACCCCGCAGTAGATTCTTGGAGCTACTAGATTATACCCCGCAGTAGATTCTGGGAGCTACTAGATTATACCCCGCAGTAGATTCTGGGAGCTACTAGATTATACCCCGCAGTAGATTCTGGGAGCTACTAGATTATACCCCGCAGTAGATTCTGGGAGCTACTAGACTATACCCCGCAGTAGATTCTGGGAGCTACTAGAGTATACCCCGCAGTAGATTCTTGGAGCTACTAGATTATACCCCGCAGTAGATTCTGGGAGCTACTAGATTATACCCCGCAGTAGATTCTGGGAGCTACTAGACTATACCCCGCAGTAGATTCTGGGAGCTACTAGAGTATACCCCGCAGTAGATTCTGGGAGCTACTAGATTATACCCCGCAGTAGATTCTGGGAGCTACTAGATTATACCCCGCAGTAGATTCTGGGAGCTACTAGACTATACCCCGCAGTAGATTCTGGGAGCTACTAGAGTATACCCCGCAGTAGATTCTGGGAGCTACTAGACTATACCCCGCAGTAGATTCTGGGAGCTACTAGAGTATACCCCGCAGTAGATTCTGGGAGCTACTAGACTATACCCCGCAGTAGATTCTGGGAGCTACTAGACTATACCCCGCAGTAGATTCTGGGAGCTACTAGAGTATACCCCGCAGTAGATTCTGGGAGCTACTAGATTATACCCCGCAGTAGATTCTGGGAGCTCCCAGAGTATACCCCAGGAGGTTGATTCTGGGAAAGGGGGGTAGAGTCTGTGAGCTCCCAGAATCTAGAATCTATCCCAGGGTAGATACTGGAAGGCCCCATTATCTACCCAGGTATACTTTCAGACTTTACACCGGGTTATACAAAGGCATCCCGTGTCCTCACCAGCTGGTTGATCTGTGCCAGGGAGGGAGTGTCTATGTGAAGCCTGTCGGCGGCGATCCTGTTGAGAGCCGTGTTGTCCAGCACCACCTGGGGTCAAGCAGGGAAGCAACATTCATCAACAAGACACACATTGCAGATTGTAATGATCTGAAAATATTTGTACAATTTCACAAGTCTATACAGGAAAGAGTAGACTGCAGGGATTTATAGACATGCACAGAGGCCAATATTCAGCCCCAACATGTTCAGCACCAAATGTCCGGAAAAAATTCAAAATTGGAACGAAAAACTCCCAAATCATGTAAATATAGCCATAACTAATGTTATGGTTTTGTTGATGTGACTTGTATGTCACTGGTAGCAAAAACATGGCAGGGGACTCTTTTTTTAACTTTAGCATCCATTTGGGAATCGAGTGAGTGAGTGAGTGAGTGAGTTGGGCTTAACGCCGCTTTTAACAGTAGTCCAGCTTAATGTGGGAGGAAAGCCCGAAGTGATGCAGGTCTCAGACGTTTACCACTTTGGTGAAACCCACGAGCACGGGTATGGTGCTGACAAACCTAGAAACATTATCGGGGCGAACCGGGATTCGAACCCACAATCATAGGTTTCTGGCGTGCCCAACAGACGCAACTCTGCACAGCGAATTGCAGCGCCTTAGACGACTGGGCCACCCGTGCCCCCTTTAGGAATCGAACCTAAGCATAATCGTCCAATGCATTCATCATTAGCCAGCATTCATCAGCAGCGCCAAGGGAACACTACCTACACCACAACACCATACTCAGCAATATTCAGATGCATGAGGACGTCCTGTAAATAATAGAGTCTGGACCAGATAGAGGAAATAGCTACCTGATTGCAAAAGTTTTGGTGGGGCTAAAGATTCTGAAATTTGAAACTGGCTAGAAACTTTAAGGCGAGCCAGCCCACCAGGCCAGCAATATTTTAGCCTATGTTACACATTGTTGCTATTTACTAAGATGTCTGATCTGTACAGCCAAGTGTCAGTAACATGCATACCACACAGTCTGCATTCTGAATCAGCCTCTTGAGAGTCAGTATGGAGTTGTACGGCTGAACCACAACGTCAGAGATCTCGTCCACATTCGGGAACACTGAGTACGTCTGGATAAGCTTCTTTGGAAATCTAAAATAAAAATCTCATGCTCTACAATTTTTAAACAGTGATTCCTAAAACTTCATTAAAATTTCTTCTAGTCAAATGAATACTAAAACACAACTTAATAATGTTTAGAGCGAGTGAGTGAATGTTATTTAAAGGCTGAAGTCTGAGATATTCCAGCATTTACTGGGCCAGGGTAACGATCCATGCCCCAGGGGTACGAGGACACACATCAACCAAGGCACCAGGCCTGATCACGTGATTATAAGTCGTCCCTCATGATCAGCATGGGTTGCTGGTGACAATTCTAACCTACGATTCTACATGGTCATCATCGGTCATCATCGGTCATCACGGTAATAGAATGTGTGAGCGAGTGAGTATGGTTTTACGCCGCTTTTAGCAATATCCCAGCAATATCACGGCGGGGGACACCAGAGATGGGCTTCACACATTGTAACAATGTCGAGAATCAAACACGTCTTTGGCGTGACGAGCGAACGCTTTAACCACTAGGCTACCCGACCGCCCCCACGGTAATAGAATGTAAGATGGAGCATGAGTGAATGAGTTGGGTTTAACGCTGTTTAGAACAGTATTCCAGTTATAGATGTAGGTCTTAAGACATGAAACCCAAGAGCATAGGTATGGTACAGTCATTGAGGTGAACAGGGATTCAAATCCACATGATGTCTGGGGTGGCCAATGGACACAACTCTGCACAGCTAAATGCAACACCTTAAACCAGGGTTAGAAACTAACAGTTTTTGTCCACTAGTCCTTATAATGATAACATATAATAGCAAAACCCTTAAAATCGGCCAATTTTTACAAGTCCTTAAGATACCTTTACAATTGGGCAGTTTGGTAAGGACTATAGGACTAGTGCCAATTTCTAACGCTGTTAAACAACTACTCCGCACATTCCCCCTGAATGTAGTATGAATATTTCACTGGACTCGTGTATGGTGAACAAGGAAAGACATGGTAATATGCCACACAATCGCCATGTTGTCTTTTTCTTCGTACCATCCAAAATATAAATAACGTAAGTCAAGACATAGAACAGCTTCTCTTCCAGTTTGCAACATGTGCTTGAAAAGTGAAGAAGAAAACATAATTTTGTTTGTCTGAGTTATCTGTCCTGGTCAAGTCCAAGAGAGTTTGTTCTAGGATTGTTGGTTCCGACTGTGATATATCTGTACACACCTGTCGTTAAGTCTCTCCAGCAGGTAGGATCCCATTCCGGACCCTGTTCCACCAGCAATAGAGTGACTCAGCACAAACCCCTGGAACAGACACACAGCCTGTTATGATACGATCTATTATTAGCCAATAACAATGCCAGGGAAACAGAGCTCAAGTGAGTGAGTGAGTGACTTATCTTCTTGTTCTCAGAGTGCCATATGTAGGCCCAAGATTAATGGAGGCATAAAGAAAAACATAGTGAGCACGCTTTGCACAAAAATCCACGAAATGTCAACCATCCCACTTCAAGACTCTTAAACAGCTCTCACAAGCTCTGAGTATTCATGGTGCAATACAAGTTTAACTAGCACTGCTTCTATGCCAACAATAATAAAATCATCAAAAATGTCTCCTTTCTCTTTTTCCAAATACTCACACGTAATTTTTTTTTTTAATTTATAAATCAAGAAATAAGAGTGAGTGAGTTGGGTTTAACGCCACTTTTAACAGTATTCCAGTTATATCGAGGCGTGTCAGCTTAATGTGGGAGGAAAGCCTGAAGTGATGCAGGTCTCAGACATTTACCTCTTCAGTGAAACCCACAAGCACGGACATGGTGCTGACAAACCTAGAAATATAAACGAGGCAAACCATGATTAGAACCCACAATCATAGGTTTCTGGCGTGCCCAAGGGATGCAACTCAAGGCGCCTTAGACGACTGGGCCACCCGTGGCCCCTCAGGAAATAAGAACAAAATCTGGTCCAGTTGGTTAAAGAGTCCGTACAATCAGTCATTTGATCAGTTCTTAGACTGAACTATGTTGCCCTCCAAACCAAGCTAATACAAACTGTGCAGTCTTTTCGCTTGTGTGTTTGTTTTGGCTGTCTGTAATAATCAAGTCTGTACCAGACAATCCACTGACTGACATCATGAGCATCTATCTAGTTGGGGCACGATGACATGCATCAACCAGTGAAATCTTTAAGGGAATTGTACAATCAGTTATCTAAGAATAATTCCATCAATATTGACAACAGAACATTTTCCATACCTCCAAACTGTCACTTCCATCTGCCTCCCTGTCTATGATGTCAAACACATCCTCGTACAGCCCTTCAGCCTGAAAACAAACACAGACACTCGAAAAACTTACCATGCAAAATCTGTCCAATGACACCCGATGAAAAGATTATATACTCCTCATTTTCTACATTACTTTTTATTTACTACATTATTTATGACAAAGATCACAAAATAACAATTGATGAAAGTTCTGAATATAAATGCATCAAACCAGTGACCTCTATATATTTCACCTCAAATTAACCAAATACTTAACAGCTTTTAGAAAGCTACATATAGTATCGCATTTATTATATTAAATACTGCTCCCGATACAACACATTGCAATTTCATTCTTCCTTCGAATCTGATACTACAGAGCCACAAATGGTCAGTGAGGGTCCATCTTGCAACATCACATATTCATCGAAGCCTGCAACTTGCTGTAAGATTACCAAAGCTGTTATGGCATGTAAAACTAGGTCTGCGATGCTATGAGTTTTTGTATTGCCAGTCATGCTCCAGTGGTAGAAACTAACCGTTTTAGTCCACTAGTCCTTTAAGGCTTATAATGATAACATGTAGCAAACCCCTTAAAAATGGCAAATTGCTACTTGTCCATATGATACCTTAACTATTGGGCAGTTTGGCAAGGACTACAGGACTAGTGCCAGTTTCTAACACTGTCAGCTCAGTTTACTTTCACAATGGCGACGTGTTCAAACTATTTTCCCATATTTTCAAGAGCCGTCTCTTAGCTGTCTCTAAGCCACTTTGTCCATCACAGAATAATGACATGAATGAAGTAACTATTGATATTACTGCCTGTGTTTAGTAGGTGAATGAAGCACCTGCATGCTTGCATCGAATCACAGAATTCAGCATTGAGATGTAACACGAACAAGATGACTTTGTCTGCCATGTTATGAACTTGTCTGACAGTAAAAAACTCATTGGAGTGAGCGAGTAAGTGAGTATGGTTTTACGCCGCTTTTAGCATTATTCCAGCAATATCACGGCAGGGGACACCAGAAATGGGCTTCACACATTGTACCCACGTCGGGAATCAAAGGCGTGACAAGCGAATGCTTTACCCACTAAACTAAACTAATTAGCCCCTAAACTAATTGGAAAGCCAAGTGATGCACAAACCGAGCAAGGTGCCTGGTCCACCACATGGCAGACTAAAAGAATGTGACTTCTCTAAATTTCAATGTGGCTCCAAAAGTTTGAAAAAGCACCAAGAATGGCACAAAAATCCAAGCTTACGTCACTGGACAGCTTTCATGGGAGAAAAATACTATCACCAACATACGAACCATTAACACTTTCCAAACACAAAAACCTGCAAAGTAAATACAACAAGAAGGCATAAAAATATGTGTAGAGTTCGATGGGTAGGGATAAAAAATCACACGCTTTGTGTTAGCACCAAGTAAACAGAAGGAAGTAGCGAGATCAGGGGAGGTGACTCTGGCTGAGGACCATGTATGTGAACATGGTGATGGTGATGGTGATGGTGATGGTGATGGTGATGGTGTTGGTGTTGGTGTTGGTGATGGTGATGGTGATGGTGATGGGCCCCATGTTTACCTCTGTGGTATAGGTTTCGAAGAAGGTAATTGCAATATGTTGTATCAGGACAAAAATTAACTTAGGTAATGGTTTATAAAAGGACTGTTATTGGAAATGCTTACACGATGGAATATTACAACATTTACTTGATACTAATGGTGAAAACAAACTTACCTGTGTGTAGCCACTGGCCCAGTTGTTTCCAGCACCACCGCCATGTTTTGACAGGTACACGTTCTCAGGGTTATACAGCTTGGCATAGGGTGAGCTGAGGATTGAGTTGATCACCCTGGGCTCTGTGTCCAGTAACACTGATCGGGGGATGTAGTGTTCGTCATCAGCCTGCAAGGAAAGGATGCTTTACTCATCAAGTGGTATTTCTCTTCCTTGTTTTTCTACGTAAATGTAGCTTACCTCGATATGAAGTCAAAAGTTTCAAATATCAACAAAAACAGCCTCCAAACTAGAGCTGAGTATCTCTTGGTGTCTTGCGATACGATTTGAATCACGATGCAGACTGACGATACTACAGGTATCATGACACACATCAAATAGTAAGAAATGATGAAATCACAGAAATACAGCTCTTGTACATGTACAGGTCTTTGATTTTGAGTCTTAATATTGATTGTGTGACACCAAGGGATGTAACTCTTGCTAGAATCAGATTTATGTCTAACTCTAAGCCAGACTAAAACAGGCTTAAATGTCGTTCCAGTGCAAGTCTAGTTTCGACAGATTTAACTTTATATATGATTTATTTTTTTTATTTAATATTCTTCACAAAATAGGCAACAATAAAATCAGAATGATTTTATGACATCAACATGAGGAGCAAGTATGCAAAATTTCAGCTTCAACAGTCTTTCATTATGATATCAAATGACAGCCCAGAACAAATTTTGAAGGAATTTAAGAACATCTTCAGAAAAATTTCAATCCATCAAAATTTGTATACTGCCTGTCTAGGCACTATATTATGACTCCCCTAATGATGAGAGACAAAGTCATTATGAACCTCACATATCCAGGGATGTTTTTCGTAGGTTGTTTTTAACACTGAAACTTAGCCAGGGGTCTATATGATATGGACCATATGATTTATGCATATATGGTAATGGCATGTATCACAGTGGTGACCTTTGATGTAAAAGAAATCTGCGGAAAATTCTGGAGAAAAAAAACTGATCCTACCTGGTAAAAGAACACATCCTTTCTGTCTGTTCCTTCCGTGGCATACTCCTCAAGAATACCCTCTGAAACATGCATTATGAAATTATCAGATATGTTAATGCATAATCATTGACTGTCTGTGCCAAACATTTGCCCAAACTTGTATTTTGGCATTATTTTCGGTAGTTGTTAATCTTAGTACTACACGGGATAGTACAAGCCTGATTTTACTTGACCATAAGGAAATTTTACTAGACAGGGTCTAGTGGATACAAACTGCAATGATAATACATTCAATGGACAAACCCTAAACTTGTTTGTTTGTTATTTAACACAACACTCAGCAATATCTGTAAAACAAATATAACATAACATATGGTATCCTGCCTACTGTCCCATCCCAACCCTTGAAGATCCGGGAATAATAGGTCTTCAGCAACCCATGCTTGCCGTAAAAGGCGACTAAGCTTGTTGTAAGAGGCGAATAACGGGATCGGGTGGTCAGGCTCGCTGACTTGGTTGATGTATGTCATCGTATCCCAATTGTGTGGATTGATGCTCATGATGTCAATCACTGGATTGTCTGGTCCAGACTCGTTTATTTACGGTCTGACGTCATATAGCTGGAATATTGCAGCAATAACACACATACAAACAAATAAAAATTACCCATACCTGTCAGTTCCATGTTACTGGAAACCCAAGTAGTTTTGTTTGATCCTATCATGTACTTTTAACATAAAAGCAAATTTCATCTGTGTACTTATACCTGGACTAATCCCATGTTCTGCACACAGCTGCTTCCAAAACTCCAATCCAACTGCAAAGAGAGAAAAGCAAATGTAAGCAACAATCTGAATGACTAAGCGACATCAGAAATTCCCAGGAAACAGTTGTTCTTTCTGTCACGATAAGTGATTGTCTGTTCTTTAAAAGGACAGTACATTGACGGTTCTGTGTATTTTTAAATCATGAATGAAATAATTTCCGAGCGTGATGTCACATCCCCGATTCAGTTCTCAAACCAAAACAATAGGGCTCCGTACTGTGAAGCATGTGTTTTTCTAATAGAGCAGCAGTTTGTATTTTTTGTTAAGGAGCCAAGCAGCTACTATTTAAACATGAATATTTTAGGAGCCAAACCTAAGATTTGGGGAGCCAACAGATACCAGTACCGTAAACAGGTTTGTCGCCAGTTACGTTTCATTACTTTAAGGTAGCCAAGTGGCATGCAGTAGATAAATTTAGGACACCAATCATAGATTTAAGTAGCAGTTGGCCACCAAAATGGTCGCTACTTAAAGGGCTGTAGAGTCAAATTGGAGAGAAAGCTTGTGTGATTTCCTTATGGCTAAGGTACAAAATACCCCAAAGTACTAATAGCCAACTTAACCTACTACCTTAGCAGGGTTTCCATGAATGAACAGCCGTGTAGGGTAGAGTCATCAACAATATATTCTTGCAGGTCAGCCACCATTAAAACTCAGAAAATAATTGAAAGTCTTAAACCTATTCACAAAATATGAATGTTTGTCAAATTATAACATTCATTAGAGTGCTTTACAGAAACATTCACACTATTTAACATGTTTAACTCTTCATTTTCACTAAAGATTTGAATGACAACAGATTTATTCTGATAGATGTGTATGTACACTGTCAAGTCGGCAGCTTTGATGATATCACACCTCTCTTTATAGCTCAACAAATCATGATCAATATGGCTGTTCGAAAACAGAGAAGTCAACAATAATCAAGAATTCCTTGGCAAAGACATTTATTTGCGGGCATGGTCATGTCTTGACTGTCAACTTCATTGCTGCTATCGGTTACTGAAATGTTTCATTTTGGTGAGCCCTAAAGGCACAGGTATGATGCTGACAAACTAGGACTCATAATCAGAGCGAATCTGGGATTCGAACCCATTGACATCGGATCCTGGCACGACTAAGGGATGCAACTGCACAGCGAAGTGCAGTGCTGAAGATGACAGGGAAACCTATCCCTTATAGCTCATCCGCAAGAAATTATGTCACGAAATAGCAATATTGCATTTCAAATAATGGAAAAGTGGTAAGAATACCTTGATTTCCACATTGCCCAAGCTGTAGAGTTATAATTTCTCGGGGCATGTTTGTTTCGGTCGTATTTCCTGAACTTGAAAATGGCGGCAGTCTGATCGGTGCATATAAAAGATGAAATGTAAATGATACGGAAAACGAACTGTGATCACGACTACGACTTTTCGTAAAACAAAAGTCTTCAGGGAGTGGATATGGTTTCGCGTATAATATCGTGAAGTTGAGCGCAGCATTTTGTGTTGAAACGCAATAAATGTTAAGTTAATGTAATGTTGCATCCAGGGTTAACTATAAACGTGTGATGTTTTCCTAATGTACCTGTTTGGCGTGTTTATCACTTTCTGAAGACCTCCAAAAGTTTCCTGAGTTTTGGAAAGTAACGCACAGTCATTATAGTCTTACGAGACACATTAAAACATCATTACTTTAAAATCGTGATAATAGATTAAAGTTCATAATAAAATATGATCGGTACAATATTATCAAACAAAATTACAAAAGTTGTTTACGTTTGATAATTTTAAAAAACACACTTGCAAATAAAGGTTGTATTTGAGGCCATTTGAAAATAAATAACAGTTTGTCCTCTTCATTAAAAGTTTAAATTCAATTAAATACATTGCTTTAAAAAAATGTCTCTTAAATCTTTAAAGAATGGACATTATATCAAAACGTGAACGTTATCTTTGACATTTCTATGTAACAGGAATTATGTAAACAATATGACAAATCCCATCTTATATAACTAATTTGTTAGTGAAACGGCCTTTTTCAAAAGCCATAAGTAAAGATCCACATCTAAAACTTGTTAATAAGCTAAGCGGCAGTGGTCTCTATCTTTTACAGCTAAAACATATGCTTTAACACTATTTGTTGTTTGATATAGCTGTAAGTTCAATGCTCATAGGCGGGTCCAGGGAGAGGCTTGTTACCAACAAATATTTTCGTTGTCATAATTCTGCTGCCCATCGTTCGATATCATTTGGTGAGAGAATATCTCTTGCCTTTCTTTTCTAATTTCGTGGCTGTGGCAAGGTTAGCATGTCAAAAAACAATTCAAGCCGACAGCCATAATCACAACAGCCGATAACAAGCCGTATCCCAATTGCGCGGATCGATGTTCATGATGTCTATCACTAGATTGTGTGGTCCAGGCTCGATTAGTTACAGACTGGCGTGATATAACTGGAATAGTGCTGAGTGCGGCGTTAAACAAACAAACAATTAAACAGTGTCATGATTCCTTCAACTAGATTCAATATTTTACATTTCATGCCACAATGCATTCACTTAATCTTATCACACCCTTTGTTGTTACAGGTGTCGTCCCTTGTCATACACAATTTGGTATCCTAAAAGCTGTTATGTTAATCTCTGTGTACATACATGGACCCTAAATATAGATTACTAAGTGTCCGTGGTAGGGCTGGGACGAGTCCAAATTTACTACCCAGGTACCCACCCCCTATTACCCGACACTACCCGGGTACCCACTGTAGGTCTCAGGAGATGTCTCAAAATGTCCGATTGGGAAAATGTTTAGCATATTTGTATATGCATGTATTAAACAATCTGGTCATTTATACAATGAAGTTGAATTAAGTTCTATCTTTATTCAACCATATGAAAAATCAGAAGGAATGGATGGATAGTCAGAAAGAAGTGCGAACTTTAGTGACCAGTAGTGTAACCATAGAGTTCTAGATAGTTTTTGTCATTAAACAATATATCACGTGACTAACCACGGGTCTGGGTAGTCCTGTGGGTCACAGTCCCGGGTCCTCCTCAGTACCCACCCGACCCGGGTACCCTAGTTACCCGTCCCAGCCCGAGTCCGTGGTATATGTAACCTTTATATAACCGCGTTCATCACTTTCTTGATAAAGGTAACATATCTGCATGGAAGGAGCTAATACCGTATTCAACGTAATAAGCGCCCAGGGCACTCTCAAAATTAGAAATAGGGGGCTCTTATTATAATATTATTTTGGTGAAAAAAAGAGTTGAAAGATAAATTTCGTGGTTTATGCTGACAGCCTGACGTGTTTTTGTACGACAGATATATTTTTCCAGAATTTAATTGCCCATAATTAAGGGTGCATATAACACACGAGTGCGTATTATACGCGAATAAATAAGTCTTGTGTACATTGATCAATCGGAAGGGGTGCTAATTGGGATTGTTCACTAGCCAATATATTAGCAAATGTCGCCGTGGGCGCTTATTAGAGCGGGTCGCTTATTACGTCGAATACGATATTGCTGGAATATTGCTAAAAGCGGCGTAGAACCATACTCACTGCATAGAAAAGTCGCATGGAAAGAATAAAAAATGACTTTAAATCCAAGTCAACCCTGTCTTCAGTCAAACATTTTCCAAATACCACTTAAAGATACCCCCCTTTAATTTTCCATAAATGTTTGTTTTTTACTGTATATAAATCTATAGTGTGTTTAATCCGATCAACATGGACAGGTAATCCGATTGGCAAATGGACCGTTAATCATCGTGTGTTGGACACACCATAAGTAAGCCCGTAGAATCTTAATTATCTGATAACAATAAATTGATATTGACGGCAACATTACTCCCACTTACACATAGTGACTGTATAATTATATCTGAAGACTCATAAGAAGGTCTAAAACACTTTAGCAAGTCTAGATTTCTTCAGTGAGGGGATGCTCTGGGTTCCTTTCTATTGTATCTCAAAATAACATTTTTCAAAACTAAATGTTAGTCTCTGTAGTATTTTTGGCACTTATTGGCGTATTATAAGTTATTACCAGTCTGTTAGTACCCTACGTGTTTACTGTGCCAATCAAATAATTAACTGATAATATGAAATTAAATAATACTGTTTAGCGGTAACATCAGCATGTCCACTGTTATATTCCTATATAAATACTTATAGAATCTCCTTTCATTTACGAACTTAAAAATAAATAATTCCGTTTTCGTCACAGAGTTTAGCTTTTTATATAATGTTATTCCCGCAGTGACGTGATTATAGTTCTTTTACGTCCTTAATAGAACTTTCATATATAATATGATTAGTATCTTTTCCATGTATTATAGATATTAGTGAAAAGTGGCTACCGTCAACGAAAAAACACATGGTTTTCATAAAATCCGTAAATTCTCATGACGTCATACCAAAACAAAAATACTGCGAGCACTTGCTGAACGAATGTTTCTGACGGACGCATAATTTGAACATTTGCGCTTCAAAATGGACAGTAGAAGTTATTCGGGAGGCTATGGGGGCGTTAGAGGCCTCGAAGAAGATATTATAAGTCTTCTAAGCCCGATCGAACCGATCGTTATGCGAATACAAAGCCTCTTGGTTTGGGAGTACCCCCATAGAAGTGCGGTCATGTTCATCTGCGTTCACCTCTTGTTTTGGTTTGTATTTATTTATTATGCGCAGTTTCCAGATTTTATGCAGTTACAAATTCTGTAGTATAATTTTAGGGGCCTAATTAAGATATCAGGAAATATCGCTTGTCTCAGAATGAAAGTCAATGTTAATTGTTTTGATTGTGACGGAGTTAAGTCAGAAGTAGGGCATGTCAAAGAAAGTAAGATTCACCTCGTTTGTTTACAGGTATTTAGCCGCAACTTCCATGAGTTCATACTTTCTTATATCGAGTGCAACGTTAATTCTTTTCCTTGTGGATACCTGGAAGAAGAAAATCTGGCCAGAAATAAGAGGTAAGTGACTTCAATGTGATGAAAGTGTCAGGTAAATCTGATTGCTTGGCCTATGACCTAAATACTGTGACAGTTGTGTGTCAGCTGTTGGAAGCCCATATTTGCTCTACACAGATATCATTGTTTATTCGGTCAAGCAGTTATGTCGCCTCAGTGTTATTTGTAAACAATAATGTTATCAATGACAGTTATTTCCGATGCATGTTGACATGCAATTTTACAGCTGAAATAAACCTGAGGTGATTGGGTCCCATGTAACATTTTATTGGGAGTAGGGTATTTCAGTTGCAGGTATGATGTAAGATTGTGACTTCTTAAATTAATGCAGTTTGTGATTTTTTAATTTGGATGAACTGAAAAATGTTAATCATGATAATGCTGAATCTCGAGAAGGGGCTGTTGCTTGTATCTGTGTATACTTGCTCAGAATGTCAAAACTAACAAATTGACTTGTTTTAAATTACCTTAAACATTATTAAAAGTTACCAGTGTTTGAAATAACAGTAACACCCATGTTATTTGATGTAGCAGTTCAGATTAATTACAGCATCCCAATCCCTTTAAAAATAATAAGATTTGATTACACCTAATTTCAAAATATAGTAGGTAGACATATTTAAAAACACTGCATTTATGTTGGAAAACTATGGTTAAGCTACATATTTGGTACATATTTGTATGCATGGTATGTGTGCACTTTGTTTTGTCACAAACAATTTGTACCACGGGAAAAGTTATATTCGGCAGGTAAAGTTATAGTTGATTGGGTAATAGGAACCATAATAATTTTGTTTCCTCCTCAGCTTAGATGTCCGCAGCAATGAAAAGCACGAAAGACACATAGTGTCAATAATGCATAGAAATATGGATGTTTTTAGGAAATGTATGACATTCATGGTTCACAGCATTGTTAACAAAGTTGCTTTTCTAGTTTGATTATTTTCCTGATATTGTGTTAACTTCATCTCCAAGCTCCATCTGGTTTGAATTGAGGAAGTAGGTTTAAACTATGTATTTAACACGTTTGAATGTGATGCTGGACTGAGGAAACTCTTCACTTATGATGGTAATCAACTTACATATCACTGACCACACGGTAACAGGCAGCAGGTATTTCAAACCTGCAGCATTACAATTTGACAAGCTGACCTGAAACTAGTGTAAGTTGTTTAGTCCTGTCCATGCTGTCGATCAGCAACGTTAATGAGGTTATGAATGGTTCACTGATCAGTTTATTCAACCATGTGGCAGGCAGCTTAATTGCAATTAGGAGATAAACATACTGTGTTTTCAATGTAGAGCTAGGTTACCTGTAGATTTAACCCCGCTAAATTGAATTTGGAACCGAACGCGCAGCGTGAGGTTTCAAATGTTATATTTAGCGCGGTTAAATCTACAGGTAACCTAGCTCTACATTGAAAACACAGTATGTTTATCTCCATTCTACCATGACTAAATAAAACGCGAACTCTTTGGTGTTAGCAAATATACCGAGTGAAGCGGCATGGGTTGAGTTCAGTGTTTTGAGTGGGTTATCGATCTGAATTACGGAATCACCAAACAAAATATGGTGCTGTATATACTCAAGCAGTTTGTTTACACCGTTATACTTCACTCGAACATATGACAGGCATTGAAAGCATATAAGCACGGCAACTTGGTAAGCTAACATGAGGTGGGCATCCCTAAAGAAAACAAAGCAAGCTTTGCAAGGCTTTCGCTCTACATCGCGCGTCACCATTATGACGTCATATCGCTCATTGTGATGCAAAAAATATGACGTCACAGTCGTATATAGAAAAGCGCCAAAATTCCAAGCGCTCTGTTGTCTCCAAAACGTAAATACATTCCCTTTGTTGATTTCTGTCGTGTTTTTCTGCACGAAATGTATTGCCACGCATCCTTTGAATATTGTAGTAACCGCATCTGTGCATTTCGTAACCTGTAATTGTAGATATAATTATTTAAATATGCCTACCAACAATGACTGAAAATAGTACTAATCTGTGAATATTAGCTTCCGCGGTGATGCGGCCGTCAAACCAGCTGTTTCAATCAGAGGGGGTTTATTGTGATTTAATAGCCTCTGATTGACCAATCAGAATCGAGTAAATTCCAAATTCATGGTAGAATAACAAGGATACATGGTATAATCTTTGAACGTCTTTTGGTGAACGTCAAGAGTATCAAACCATTAACCTTCTTCTCTCCAGGCAGGCACTGTATCCATTAGACCACAGAGGCAGTCCAACAATTAAACTTTACAGCATTAGAAATTGGCACTTGTCCTGAAGTCCTTGCCAAACTGCCCAATAGTTAAGGCGTCATAAGGACTAGTAGAGATTTGCCATTTTTAAAGGTTTTGCTATAACAGTGCTATTAGTTATCATTATAAGGACTAGTAGACTAAAAGTGTTAGTTTTTACAGCTTTTTTATATGATTTTGCTTAATGTCCTGGAAGCCCTGTGATGGAGAAGTGGAGTGTAGGGAACCCATGAAGTATTGACAATGCTGTTATGTTGGAATACTGTATTCATCGTAGTAAGCTTCTTGGGTACTTAAAAAATTCATAAAGGGGGACTTTTATTAGAACCATACAAATTTGTTTACAGAGATTGAGCGGCCGCGAACACAGAAGTTCAAAAGTAATTTAAATTGACACTCTTTCCATAATAGATACAAGGCGATTATATGCCTATTCTACGCTGCTGTTTTCTGTACAAAGTGTGTAATATACACATGGAAATATGGAATGTCGTGTAAAGTTTCGATCTTACTTTTGGGCACTAACTTACAGACTGGTCTAGAAGTAGGTCAGGGTCCATTTATCAGAGCTCCAGATAACTTTTTGAGCAATTGAGTTTTTACTCTAAGGTTTCTATCTTAATTGGGTTATTACATTTTTCATTGGGTAACCAATATTTTTTCACTCATCTATTCATCACTCTATTGGGATTTTCCCCAAACTACTGAACATTGTAAGATTTCCAAAAAATGAAAGTTATGTTTTAGATGTATATAACTGTTCTAAATATATAGGCTTGACTCAGAAAGTAAATTAACTCCTTCGTACGCATGCTGAAAAATCTTCATTGGGTATTTACGCGAGCTGATTTATACATTTGAGTTTAACTGTTAACTGAAAGTAATTGGGTTTTGAATATTTTTATATATTTTTTGGAGGGGGGTGGGGATTTTATGCAAATACGCTGCTTATCTATAGTTCTACATTTATGGAATCAGAGTGTTTAATATGGTGAATATAGGTGTATATGTTTTAATAGAATAGCTCAAGTACAGATTACCATGACCGGTTATCAGATTATGGGTGGATCATAAGTGGTCCTCTGCATTTATCATAAAGGCCGACTCAAATGAGTATCTAGTGTTCACAAATACTCTGTGTTCTGTGTGACCCAGCTGAAAGGGTATCAGCGCAGGCCAAGGTCACGGCCTATTGCCCCATGTTGTCCTGGTCCATAGTCACTCACAGGCTCAGTTTAAAAAATACAGACAGGCTAAAGTAAAATACTTCTGAATTCAAATTTGCATAAACATTTGGACAAGACAGATGTGAGTGCCTGACACCAACCTCTGTAATTTGCAAGTTGTACAGTTGTGTCATTGTTGTCTTTCAGTCCCGCCTCCAGTGCCTGACGATATAGATGGGTGAGTAACATAGTTTGTTTGTCTCCGGAATATTGTATGTTCTTACGATGCTGACGGTAGGGATGTTGTGTTGACACATTACAGCGGATCCAGAGGGAGGGACCAGGGGTGTTATACTGACTGCAGGGGGGTAGAGTTGACACATTACAGCGGATCCAGAGGGAGGGACCAGGGGTGTTATACTGACTGCAGGGGGGTAGAGTTGACACATTACAGCGGATCCAGAGGGAGGGACCAGGGGTGTTATACTGACTGCAAGGGGGTAGAGTTGACACATTACAGCGGATCCAGAGGGAGGGACCAGGGGTGTTATTCTGACTGCAAGGGGGTAGAGTTGACACATTACAGCAGATCCAGAAGGAGGGACCAGGGGTGTTATACTGACGGCAAGGGGGTAGAGTTGACACATTACAGCGGATCCAGAGGGAGGGACCAGGGGGTGTTATACTGACAGCAGGGGGTTAGAGTTGACACATTAAAGCGGATCCAGAGGGAGGGACCAGGGGTGTTATTCTGACGGCAAGGGGGTAGAGTTGACACATTACAGCGGATCCAGAGGGAGGGACCAGGGGGTGTTATACTGACGGCAGGGGTGTAGAGTTGACACATATAGCTGATCCAGAGTGAGGGACCAGGGGGTGTTATACTGACGGCAGGGGTGTAGAGTTGACACATTACAGTGGATCCAGAGGGAGGGACCAGGGGGTGTTATACTGACGGCAAGGGTGTAGAGTTGACACATTACAGCGGATCCAGAGGGAGGGACCAGGTGTGTTATACTGACGGCAGGGGGGTAGAGTTGACACATTACAGCAGATCCAGAGGGAGGGACCAGGGGTGTTATACTGACGGCAAGGGTGTAGAGTTGACACATTACAGCGGATCCAGAGTGAGGGACCAGGGGGTGTTAAACTGACGGCAGGGGGTTAGAGTTGACACATTACAGCGGATCCAGAGGGAGGGACAAGGGGTGTTATTCTGACTGCAAGGGTGTAGAGTTGACACATTACAGCAGATCCAGAAGGAGGGACCAGGGGTGTTATACTGACGGCAGGGGGGTAGAGTTGACACATTACAGCAGATCCAGAAGGAGGGACCAGGGGTGTTATACTGACGGCAGGGGTGTAGAGTTGACACATTACAGCGGATCCAGAGGGAGGGACCAGGGGGTGTTATACTGACGGCAGGGGTGTAGAGTTGACACATTACAGCGGATCCAGAGTGAGGGACCAGGGGGTGTTATACTGACGGCAGGGGTGTAGAGTTGACACATTACAGCGGATCCAGAGTGAGGGACCAGGGGGTGTTAAACTGACGGCAGGGGGTTAGAGTTGACACATTACAGCGGATCCAGAGGGAGGGACAAGGGGTGTTATTCTGACTGCAAGGGTGTAGAGTTGACACATTACAGCAGATCCAGAAGGAGGGACCAGGGGTGTTATACTGACGGCAGGGGGGTAGAGTTGACACATTACAGCAGATCCAGAAGGAGGGACCAGGGGTGTTATACTGACGGCAGGGGTGTAGAGTTGACACATTACAGCGGATCCAGAGGGAGGGACCAGGGGGTGTTATACTGACGGCAGGGGTGTAGAGTTGACACATTACAGCGGATCCAGAGTGAGGGACCAGGGGGTGTTATACTGACGGCAGGGGTGTAGAGTTGACACATTACAGCGGATCCAGAGGGAGGGACCAGGGGTGTTATACTGACGGCAGGGGTGTAGAGTTGACACATTACAGCGGATCCAGAGGGAGGGACCAGGGGTGTTATACTGACGGCAAGGGGGTAGAGTTGACACATTACAGCGGATCCAGAGGGAGGGACCAGGGGGTGTTATACTGACGGCAGGGGTGTAGAGTTGACACATTACAGAGGATCCAGAGGGAGGGACCAGGGGTGTTATACTGACAGCAGGGGGTTAGAGTTGACACATTACAGCGGATCCAGAGGGAGGGACAAGGGGTGTTATTCTGACTGCAAGGGGGTAGAGTTGACACATTACAGCAGATCCAGAGTGAGGGACCAGGGGGTGTTATACTGACGGCAAGGGGGTAGAGTTGACACATTACAGCGGATCCAGAGGGAGGGACCAGGGGTGTTATACTGACGGCAAGGGTGTAGAGTTGACACATTACAGCGGATCCAGAGGGAGGGACCAGGGGTGTTATACTGACGGCAGGGGTGTAGAGTTGACACATTACAGTGGATCCAGAGTGAGGGACCAGGGGGTGTTATACTGACGGCAAGGGGGTAGAGTTGACACATTACAGCGGATCCAGAGGGAGGGACCAGGGGTGTTATACTGACGGCAAGGGTGTAGAGTTGACACATTACAGCGGATCCAGAGGGAGGGACCAGGGGTGTTATACTGACGGCAGGGGTGTAGAGTTGACACATTACAGTGGATCCAGAGTGAGGGACCAGGGGGTGTTATACTGACGGCAAGGGGGTAGAGTTGACACATTACAGCGGATCCAGAGGGAGGGACCAGGGGGTGTTATACTGACTGCAAGGGGGTAGAGTTGACACATTACAGCGGATCCAGAGGGAGGGACCAGGGGTGTTATTCTGACTGCAAGGGGGTAGAGTTGACACATTACAGCAGATCCAGAAGGAGGGACCAGGTGTGTTATACTGACGGCAGGGGTGTAGAGTTGACACATTACAGCGGATCCAGAGTGAGGGACCAGGGGTGTTATACTGACGGCAAGGGGTGTAGAGTTGACACATTACAGCGGATCCAGAGGGAGGGACCAGGGGTGTTCACCCCCACCCCTTTTGTTACAGAAAAGTTACATCTGAACTGCGCCCTAAGCCAAATCACTTTGTGACGTGGGTATAATGTGCAAACCTCCTTTTTCAAAATCCCAGATCTGCCTCTGCACACGAAACAAGGGTGTCCTTGGAGAGTTTCTATCTGTGTCATCTTGATTTAAAATAGAAACAGCTTCAGAGTTTAACATTCCATTTAAACTTCCAACAGCACATTTATTAGACTTCCTGGTGCCTTGAGGGGATGCCTACACATCATATTTCTTTCCATTGTGAAGGTACTGACTTTTTGAAGCCAGTGAGAAATGCACAGCATTAAGCATGTTAAGTGGGAATACACATGCTTCATCACAGAATTTCAAATATACTATTTCTTTTTCTTCTTTAAAGTGGGGGATGGGTGGCCCAGTCGTCTAAGGCGCCATGATTCGCTGTGCAGAGTTAGTTCCCTTGGGCCCACCAGAAACCTATGATTGTGGGTTCGAATCCCGGTTCGCCCCGATTGTGTTCTAGGTTTGTCAGCACCATACCCGTACTCGTTGGTTTCACTGAAGTGGTAAACGTCTGAGACCTGCATCACTTCGGGCTTTCCTCCAACATTAAGCTGACATGCCGTGATATAACTGGAATACTGTTAAAAGCGGCGTTAAACCCAACTCACTTAAGAATTGAACGTCATACTCACTCACTCACTCACTATCATGAACTGGGAAATATTTAATTCCAGTTTGGGAATTTGTAAAGACATTTGCAAAAGAACATGCAGAATATCTGCCTCTGACAGTCTGAGCAGGTCTAGATCAGTGAAATTCCTGCATTACGAGTTTGATGCAGGCTGGTTGATGGGATGGTTTGGTTGTTCAGGTATGGGCTCAGCAGGGATAAGATATAAGGGGTAATAACTTCTTTATTACAATTAGAAGTGACGTTTCGGTGTAGGTTTTAACACCATTATCAAGCAAGTGACGTACAGAGTATGGATGACAAGTATGTTATCAGTGTTCCCATTTACCGGTAATTACCAGTTTTTAACCGGTAAAATTAGGCTTGGACCGGTAATGCATGTGACTGCCAGTCCCTGTGGACCAGCAAATACAGTACCTTATAAATCTTTGTTGTTGAACCAAACATAAGCAATATTCAATTTTCTCCGAACGAAGTCAGTTTGTCTGTTACCATCAGGGTTTCCTCTTGTCTACTTTTAGTGAAGGAAATAACATTTTGCCTTGCTTCGAGGTTAAATATTTGTAGCGACTTTGTCTCGAAATATTCAAAAATAAGAGAGAAAATTGTGACTGAACTTTGTGTGAATGACATGTAGATCTAACTATGTTACTGCAGAGATGATGCATTGCATTGAACGTGATGTTGAAGGAATTAAAACTAGGTAATTTTCATACATTTTTTATTTATTGAAAGTTGGGACTAACAAAAATTAGGGGGACTGGTAAATTTTGGAGTTGACAGTCCTCCAGGGCCCACTTGCACAAAGCGATCTTAGCGCATCGACTATTGTAAGTCTATGTTAAAGTATTGGCGTTACGATCATCTTAGCGCTAAGATCGCTTTGTGCAAGTGGGCCCAGGACTGACAGTTTTAAAAGCCAGCGGGAACACTGATGTATACAGGTATGAGGCAGTGTTTATACAGTAGAGTAGATTGGGATGCAGTTACACTGGGGTGGAGAAGCCTGTTATGTTCACAAAAGGGTAAACATCTCATGACCAAAGAAAAGGATTCAAATCCATAGATGGATTATGTGTGCATCCCCTGCGATGACATGACAAATTGCTAAGAGTGGTGTGACACAGTATTCACTCATTTAACCTTCACCATGTTGACTGGATCTCTAGTTTGGAAGCCCATGGGACTGCAGGTTGGGTGGCAAGGCTTGGGTGGCAAGGCTTGGGTGGCAAGGCCTGGGTGGCAAGGCTTGGGTGGCAAGGCTTGGGTGGCAAGGCCTGGGTGGCAAGGCTGGGTGGCAAGGCTGGGTGGCAAGGCTTGGGTGAAGGCTTGGGTGGCAAGGCTTGGGTGATTGCATGTTGATCATGGCCTGGCAGCATGGGACATTGGTCAAGTCTCGATTGCTTAGAGGCAGCCATCATTTAGCTGGAATATTGCTGAGTGCCATGTCAAACTACACTCATCTTAAAAAGTCATACTTTATGAACCAGGTAAGATGAGACCACTTGAAACTGACTGAGAAATTCATTATAAAAAGGTGTCGACTTTTGCACTTGTGATTTATTTCCAAGGTAATTGAAACCATCTGTTTGTGACCATGTGAATATTATGTTTCAGTTGGACCCCTGTCCACCCTCGTCTGCTAAATGTGCTCGAAATTTCCCATCATGCAGCTGAAGTTCTTCACAACATTCTCAACACACTCCATGAATTACGCTTGTATCGTAGGAATAACCCAAGAATTGTAAGTTTGCTAAATGGTTTAAGTTATTGTTTTGTATATACTCAAAGTGCATGAGGAATGGTGTCCGTGAAAGTGTTGATTTTGGGAAGAAATGTTGTGAAATAGGTACATGTGAAAGAAAAATAGGTACATGTGAAACAGAGCTGGGACGAGTCCAAATTTTCTACCCCTATTACCCGACCCTACCCAGGTCCCCGCTGTAGGTCTCAATAGATAGGTCCAAATGTCCGACTAGGAATAGTTTTGACCGTAGCCCTGGCAAAATGTATTTAGATACACGAATAAAAACAATCGGGTCATGCATAAACAGAAGTTGACTGAAGTTTTATCCTTAATCAAACATATAAAGTCAGAAGGAATCGAAACATTAGTCACTTATACTGTAACCATAGAGTTCTAGATAATTTTTGTCATTAAACAATATATCACACGATTTTAACCACGGGTCTGTGTAGTCCTGTGGGTACCCGGGTCCTACTCAGTAGCCACCCGAGTACCTGAGTACCCGAGTTACCCATCCCAGCCCTAATGTGAAACAAAAATAGGTACATGTTGAAGAATGCATTCATCAAATATTCATAAGCAGTGGATATTTAAGATGGCAAAATGGTGGTTTTCAGACACACGTGACCAAACGGTTGGGGACATTTGTAACAGTGTAACTGTAAGCACGGCAAAGGGGGTCATTCTGAAGAAGGGAGTACCAAGAACCTTTTTGAATAAATGACAATCTCTTGATCAAATAGGTCTTCAGCAACACATGCTTGCCGTAAAAGGCGACTATGTTTGTTGTAAGTGGCGACTAACAGGATCGGGTGTTCAGGCTCGCTGACTTGGTTGATGCATGTCATCATATCCTAATTGCGTAGATCGATGCTCATGATGTCAGTTACTGGATTGTCTGGTCCAGACTCGATTTATTTACAGACCGCCGTCATATAGCTGGAATATTGCTGAGTGCAGCGTTAAACAACAAACAACAAACTTAAACATAGTATGCATGTTAAGTGCATGTTATTGGGCTATGTTTAAATATGGGATTTCTTTTGTAAATGGAAAGTTTGTGCTACACTTAGCAGTCAATATTTCTTGAATCATAATTGAAATAATATACACAAAGATTCTTTGACACTGCACTCTTGTACCAGAATGAGCCAAAGTGCCCCTCTATTTTCAAAATGGTTCATGTTTTTATGCAGACATGTTGCATGGGTGTACTGGTAAGGACAGGATAAATTAATTATTAGACTCTATCCCTGCACGCCTCACTACTAAACACCACTCCCACCTCACTAACAAACACACGCCTTCATTATATTTTGTCTCTATACAGATAAAGAAAACCTCTGTGTGTGTTCTTTTCTTTCTTTACCATTGTTCCCTTTATGAAATACACCATATATGTTTTTGTTTGAGAAGGAATTGAGTGAGTGAGCATGGTTCTAGCCGTTTTTAGCACTATTTCAGCAAAGTCACGGCTGGGGACACCAGAAATGGGCTCACACATTGTACCCATATGGGGAATCTAACCCGGGTCATCAGCTTGACGAGCGAACACTTTAACCACTGGGCTACCCGACCGCCCCGAGAAGGAATTGACAAGGGCAGTGTTGGACTACTAGTTCTTCTAGACCTGAGTGCAGCATTCAACACCAATGACCACAACAACATTTGTCTGCCCCGAGACAATGGTTTCAGTCATGTTGGTATCAGACTGTCATCGTAGATAGCTCTTTCTTCAGACCTGTCAAACTGCTGTACGGTGTCCCTCAGGGCTCAGTTCTGGACCCTGTGTTTTTCACCTTCATACAATCCAGCTCGGCAATGTCATAGAGAAACAGTCTTCCAGAGCTACAGATAAGTTGCGTGTTTGCGTAAAATACACCCCAAAACTATTCAAAGCCCAATTACCGTATTTTCTTCAGTATAGTGCGCACCCGAGTATAATGCGCACCCCCCTCTAGTGGATTCAGCATTTTGTAAAAAATTTTTTTTTGAATATTATGGGCAGAAAATAATTGCACCGTACCCCTTCAGTGAATTGCGGATAACGAACAGGTGATGAACATCATCAATCCGGAATAATAACTATCAATGTCGGGTCATCCACTCTGTAAAAGATCTTCGTGTCATCCTTGACAGCAAGTTGACACTATTAAAGCCATGTTGATCAACTTTGCAAAGTGTTTTCCCTCAACATCAGAACCATCAGTACCATCAGGAAATATCTGACGACACAATAAACACAGACACTTCTGTCACATATCCTATCCAGATTGGACTATTGTAACAGCCTCCTCACCGAATTGCCCAAATCCCTGGTATCACAGTTCCCACGCATTCAGAAGATGCTAGCCAGGATTGTCATATCCCAAGATCTGAGCATATTACACCAGTCTTCTAAAGCTTGCACTGGCTCCTACACATTCAGAAGATGCTAGCCAGGATTGTCATATCCCAAGATCTGAGCATATTACACCAGTCTTCTAAAGCTTGCACTGGCTCCTACGCATTCAGAAGATGCTAGCCAGGATTGTCATATCCCAAGATCTGAGCATATTACACCAGTCTTCTAAAGCTTGCACTGGCTCCTACGCATTCAGAAGATGCTAGCCAGGATTGTCATATCCCAAGATCTGAGCATATTACACCAGTCCTCTAAAGCTTCCACTGGCTCCTACGCATTCAGAAGATGCTAGCCAGGATTGTCTCACCCAAAGATCTGAGCATATTACACCAGTCTTCTAAAGCTTGCACTGGCTTCTATGCATTCAGAAGATGCTAGCCAGGATTGTCATATCCCAAGATCTGAGCATATTACACCAGTCCTCTAAAGCTTGCACTGGCTCCCATGGAGTTCAGAATCAGTTTCAAGATGCTCTGTCTAAAGTACCAATGTAATGCTGGGATCGCACTACAATAACTGTCAAACATGATTGGTGTTTACAATCCTGCCAGATGACTCGGATCACAAAATAACAACCTCCTGATTGTACCAAAGACAGATATGGTGAGCGTTCTTTCTCCGATCAGGCAACTGTGGAGTGGCACAAGCTGCCTGAGGACATAAAGATGTCTTCCTCACTACAACCCTTCAGATCACAGCTGAAGACTGATATTACTTATTCTGACTAGCACACAGGGTAGCTTCTCCAAGCTTTATTCAAGCCTGCATGTGCGCTTAGAGCATGCTTATGCGTGGATTACAGCACTTCTTTATTATCATTATTATTATTATTATTATTATTATTATTTTATTTTTTATACATAATTTTTTTAAATATTTTTTAAAATTATTATTATTATTAATGTAGAGGGATAGACACAACCTCTAGTCTGTTAGCATGGTTAGTTCTAGACAAGTGAGCATGCAGAGGGGCTAAGTCTTTGAAGGTGAGGTTTAGAGGTGATTTAGAGGTGATGCACATGACAAGCGAAGCCAACAGTTAATTAGCGATGCAATGAGTTGACACGTGTGTGCGGCAAAATCCCTTAATATATGTCTGCTCTTTGATGTGAACAGTTTACTGAATGTGGGAGTGAGACGTGTGAAAAGTTCATTCAAAATTGGAAATGTCAGTTACATGATACATTCGTCCTTTGTCTCAGTTTGAGTCCAGAATCCAGAGTGAGGTGAGGTTAAATGGGGTTTAACATCACGTCCAAGATTAGTGCACTTATATAGCGACATGCATGCATGCACGTGTGTGGCTGCTTGTACTAGTCTGAACTGATGCCAATTTATAGTGCTAGCTCACTGAGATACCATGCCACAGTTTAACATGAATACCCCACTCAGACACAGTATACTGACTCTGAGCCAACCAATCCTTGTTTTAGTTTGAGTCCAAAATCCAGAGTGAACGCATCAGAGGCATGAGTCAGATCAATCTCAATAACATTTTGATCTTAGTTCTCGCTACTGCTAAGCAAAGATCTGAAGACATCCCATTACGGGTCACGTCAGAACCACCTTTCATCTGACCAATGAGAGCGTTGCTTACCAGATCATGAAAGTGACAGTATGAATGTGTTTCCTAATAATGCAACCTCGAAAAAATTTAATATAGGGTATTCCAAACGACAGTTATGACTGAATCCATACAATCTAGGCTGTCTATTAGCCATTCCAGAATGTTCTTTTGTTAAGAATTTGTCAAATTATGTTTGAAGCGTAGTGGCCAGTTTGAAACTTATTTCATACAGACTTTGAAAGCTGATTCTGATTGGTTAATGTTGACTTCTTGTGATTCCATTGGTCAATCAAAGTTTGCGAAAGGTCGGTCGGACGTGACCATAATGGGATGTCATCAGATCCTTGTTTAACGGTAGCGAGAGCTAAGATCGGATTTTAATGTGATTGGAGTGTGATTTTCCTTGATGATATTTGTCAGGCTTGCTGACTTGGTTGATGCATGTTATCGTATCCCAATTGAATGGAGCGATGCTCATGATGTCAATCACTTGATTGTCTTGTCATAGCTGGAATATTGCTGAGCGTGGGCGTGCAACAACAAACAAACAAACGAACAAAACCTTGATGATAAATTTATAAGGAACATTCGGGACCATAATTGTGGTTCACTATTGACAAAGATCCAGATTAAGCAGTGTCTGGATTGGACAGTTTCCTTTGTATAGAGCAATGTTGTCAGTATATAATAATTTCAAACCCTGTGATAGATGCAAAACTATAGATTAACATGACTTTAGGGGATTATAAAGTGATACTAGAGTCTGTGATATCAACAACATGCTGACTGACACTTGTTATTTTTATTATATTTTTCATCATTTCAGTTTTCGATAGTGTGTATGATAATCTGCTTCGTCCTAATGGTGATTGGTCGGTACATCCCAGGAATAATGCTTTCGTATATTCTAGGTAAGTATAAACTCAACAATAGTCTATGTAGTACATCTGAGCAGGACGATATGAGAAGGGTTTCCTCCTCAAAGTGTACATCTTCCAGAGGCAAGAGAGTTAACTGACTATAAAAGTCCAGTATTATGGAGTTACATTTTGGATGAAGTAACGAGTCTATGCATAGTCCAATCAAAATTGTGCACCGAAATTGAAATCCGGTTGGTGAACTGTTTTACAGATTTCGGTTGATTGCATGATTTGCAAAGCATGTGCACCGCCAACTCGTCAATAGATATTTTCCAAGTCTTTTCACTTTTTTAATCAAGGTGCTCACGTGATTTGATGCACTTCGCGAGGTAAGACCCGTTTTATCACAATATAGATCTTGATTATCGATCAGATCATCTTGACTGGTTTGAAACAAATGCAAGTGATACGAGAACTGGAATCTGATTGGTCCATAGGAGAGGCTTATAAGGGACATAACTCATAATAACCACTGGAGCCCAGGAATTCCAGCCTAGTTCGGCAAGGGTGGAAACTGACTTTTACGGTCAGTTAATTCTCTTGCCTTGGGAAGATGCAAGGTGTATACATGGTATTGCTGACAGCTAGTCCTAGGATTTATCAAGGATTCTAAACTAAGTGCCCTTGGCGGGGGAATTAGGAAAATTTGTTATTTTGTTTAAAATTGGGGTTTTCTTTAAACATCTTACCTTCTTAAATTCATAGGTATTCTAACTTTGAATTGCAGCATTGAGTTATTACTAAGCAATAGAGCCTCTTCCTCTTTATTGGTCCTGTGATCTGTGAAATACAAGTCAACCCTACAAAGCCTTGCCAACAGTTAGAATCATGAGAGCAAGAACTGGGGAATGTTTAATCCCAATTTGGGGATGTTTATAGACGTTGGCTGCAGATGTTGGGCCCAAATATCAGCCTCTGAGCAGGCCTTGATAAACCTCTGAATAGGCATGGCAAACTTCTTTGTCTCTCCAGAAACCTGGACGTGTTCTATTTTAACTCAACGTTACGAAAGTTGCAATGCTGTGAACAGGCCATTGGGATTGGTCCCCATGTTGTTACTGTTGGACTTTGTGGGGACAAGGGATATGACATTTGGAATAGATTCCCAGCTTGTTGCGAAAAGAGAATAAACTGGACCACAATGTAATGTCTTCTTATCCAACATTTGAATTACTTGATTATTGGCTACTAAGATGAGACTTTGTTGTATCTAGACCTCATCCTCCTTCACTAAGGGATCTCAGGTGCAGAGTGTGTCTTGGAGTTAGGCTAAAGATTTCCTCGGAGAGCGGATGGTTGGTGATTCGATGCCTGGTCTAGTCACACCAAAACGCGTTAAAAGAGGGTACTTGTTGTTGCCCTGCCTGACTCAGCATCAATAGGATGAAACATTGACTGCTCCACACTCACGCGTCTACAACTTATGGGTAGACTTTGGACTTTCCGGACACATGAAGTTTGATATAAAAACTACAATTCCTAGTTTTGAAATATACCAAATGCACCCTAAGAGTTAATTAAAATGTTGACATGCTCATCTTGACAGAGAAAAGAGCTGTGTGAAAATCTTGCTTGAAGAAGTTGTTTCAATGTAATAGTTTTGTTACACAATACACTTGTAGGCCTATAGCCCCTAAACTTAAGACTTTGTCTAACATCAAACATGTCAAATGCTTGAACTGTTTTCTATGCTAGTTTGTGGGTGGTCCATTGACTCGTTTGTATACTGTGAGTGAGTGAGTGAGTTGGATTTAACGCCGCTTTTAACAGTATTCCAGTTACATCACGGCATGTCAGCTTAATGTGGGAGGAAAGCCCGAAGTGATGCAGGTCTCAGAGGTTTACCACTTCAGTGAAACCCACGAGCACGGGTAAGGTGCTGACAAACCTAGAAACATAATCGGGGCGAACCAGGTTGTATACTGACATGTGTCAGGGGTCAAATGGCTAAGGAACATTCAGGCTATATATGGGGACATCAAGTGTAAAAGGGTCCTGGATCAATGGGGATGGTGAGACTTGAGCTGTCTGTTTCAGTGATGAGCGTGATGCTCTGGCCTTGCATCGTCTACCACAATGTGTTGAAGAAGGCGTACCTCAAAGTGGAGCCAGCTTTCATGTGGCTGGAATATAACCTGAAGATCAAGATGTCAAGGTCACCCAAAGGTATACCCAAGCAAGATGAATTTGATGTAATTTGGCAAGAGTAATGTATTTTCTTGTTTTACAAGGTTTTGGTTGAAAGAGAAATGATATTTGATAAGTTATAATGTTATTGTTTACACAAGTATTGTTTGTTTGTTTGTTGTTTGACATCGCACTCAGAAATATTCTAGCTATATGACAGATGTCTGTAAACAATTGAGTCTGGACCAGACAGTCCAGTGATTGACACCACGAGCATCGAACTACGCAATTGGGATACAATAACCTCAATCAAGTTTGTCTGCGAGTCTGACCACCCGATCCTGTTACATTAAGCATGGGCTGCTTAAGACCAGTTCTAACCCAAATCTTCAGGGGGCGTTCACACAAGTAACCAACTGGAAGGTCCTTTGATGATCTTTCTGAGTGTGACCCTGTGGGGACCAAGAACAGATCTCTAACACTCAATTAAGTTTATTGCTTGTTGTATGCGGCTACTGGCTTGGATCAAGACTTTGTGACTTGGTGTCATCATACCCAATAGAGGTGGTTCTCATAATATCAACCACTGGTTTGTCGGACCCAGACTTGATTGTTTGAAATATTGTAAAATATAAGATAGATACGCGATATATAGCAAAGAAAAAAAAGGAAGCATGGTTTATTTCATGATATATCATTGTTCTATCATGACGTCATTTCTGGAGATTTGAATATGCGCTCGCAACTTGATATTGGAAGATGTTATTTTTGAGAGAAGTGTCTAGGAAGTTGTTCGGCATAGATGTAGCTGGGCTATGCAGATAAAAGCAGTGGCCTAACCATCGCATCCGATAATAGGAGAGATATGACAATCGGTATTAGGAAAAATCCGAAGATCTGAGTTCGTTTCCCGACATGGGTACAATGTCCCCCCGCCGTGATATTGCTGGAATATTGTTACAAGCAGAGTAAAACCATATTCACTCACTAACTCACTCCTATAAGACATAAACAATTTGTGGTCATTGTGTATCGTACAATAAAACACTGCAGAGAAAATAAACCACTCGGGTCTGAACCCCTAATGGTTTATTATCCCTGCAGTGATTTATTGTACGATAGATAAACAGCTCCCACTCGCCCTTTATTTCTTAAACAACAAACAATCAAATTTTGGAATTAACTGTATTTCTGCTCACATAAATTCTATTGTTCTCCTCCACAAGTGACCAGTGGGTCATCTGTGTCCGGCTCTGGCTCCCTGAATGCCACTGTTGAGGATGATTATGATGAGTTCTGTCCACCGACGGACCCGACAACCACGGCACTGCTGGCTCGCGCCATCACAGACAGCGAGGACGAGGGCGGGCCGTCAGCCATACCGACACCCCAGCTGTCTAAAGAACCTTCCATGGATAACAGTGAAAATGGTAGGTGGTGTTTGGGAGAGTTCATGGTTTCCCCGTCAGCGTGGAGGAAAGTATGTCCTAGAACTTCAGTTATCATGGCTAAACTCCATGGCAATTGAGCTATGATAATACCATTGACTTGACAGTGTACCGAGTGCTGGAGTTACGCACGCGACCAATCATCGTAGAAAAAAACCGCAAGATAAACATATTATTATTGCAAATATAAGGTTTGTGTGCGCACTTGTGATGTGTTTCTTTCATGGTTGCCTTATACACGGAGTATAGGATTTTGGGTCGATTTTTGAAGGCGTGTACAGGGGGTCGATATACTGTATTCATTGACATCATGTGGAACGTCCATTCATATTTGTTCAAAATGTCATAAAATATCAGTACATACATAGTTAGTAATTGGCCACAGCTTTTGTGGTTGAATTTTTGTGATATTTTGAATTTTGACAATGATTTTACCTTTGCACTTGAAAGGTGAAAGTTTCTATGGCCATAAGTCAGCCATTTTGTTTCAAAATGTAATGATAATTGGCAATAGTTGGACAATACACAAATACATCGGTGGATCATGTTTTTTTAACTTCTTGATTCAAGAATCGATCACAGCCGCACACTAAGTAGAAAATAGCAATTCATACCTTACATGTTTGCTTTAGTAATTGCTACACAAAACACTAAGTGAAAATTAGTTGTGAAAATGTAAATATTTTCATCCTTTGTGCCATCCTTGGCACTGCCAAATGTAAATCGTCAGTGTGCCAGGTATTTGGCCGTCCTGTCTATGAAAAAGATGGCATACGCACCACAGATAAGAGTACATGCATGTATCGTGATATGTATCAGATCATGAACAAGGTATCATGATACGTAGCGGATCGCACAGTTGGTGTATCATATCAGCCCAAGTTCTAAGTTTAAGATGTTAAGTGTATTATAAGCAGGTTATGTTTAAATTTCGGATTTCTTTTGTATTGGAAAGCATGTGCCAGACTACTGCACAGTCAATGTTTCTTGAATCATGATTGATATAAAATACACAGAAATTCTTTAATGTCGCACCGTTGGACCTGTTGGATCACACAGTTGGTGTGTCATGCCAACCCGAATATTTAGTATAGGTATAGTACTAAGTAACTGACTATTGACATAAGTCATTCAAATGTTGGAATACATAGGTATGGTGTAATACATCATATACATCAAGTAAAGACAATGATTTTCTTCGTGTGTAGGTAAGGGCATGGGTGGCCCAGTCGTCTAAGGCAGCGCTATTCGCTGTGCAGAGTTGCGTCCCTTGGGGACGTCAGAAACGTATGATTGTGGGTTAGAATCCCAGTTCGTCCCTATTTTGTTTCTAGGTTTGTCAGCACCATACCCATCCTGTGGGTTTCACCAAAGTGATAAATGTCTGAGACCTGCATCACTTCAGGTTTTCCTCCCATATTAAGCTGACACGCCGTGATATAACTGGAATAAGGTTAAAAGCGGCGTTAAACCCAACTCACTCACCCATCTGTAGGTGCTTGTGAACAATAAAATGATGTGAGGGTGCATCTCTGGTAGTGAAGCTCCAGCTATGGTTATCTAATAAGTAATTACATGGTCTCATGATAAATCCATTAAATTTCAGAAGAGGAGGACTTTGCACCAGGCCTAGAACGTATGCCTTCATTTGATGACCTGGATCAAACTGACGATGAATTCATGCCCAGTAACGGCCACAGTGGCAGCATGCCCTTCAACCCCTCCCACTTCGGCGACAACTCTGACTCAGACGAGGATGACATCAACTTCCCGGACATCTCTGAAGTTGACTCTTCTGTGCTGGAACGCACACCAACATCAGAAGGCATCCTCAGCTCTCCTTTCAGTGCCCTCGCCAGCTCTGTCGTCAGCCAAACCCTGACTTCCATGGTTGAGAATGCCCTCCAAGGTGTGTCCAGGAAGGGAGATCACTCTAGCACTTCCTCCTATGGGCGTCTGCCTGGCACAGATGCACAGATCACCTACACGCGAACAGACATTGGGGAGGCAGTGGATGTGTTACCGCAGGATATAACGCTCGAGGAGGAGGAGGAGGAGGAGGAAGAAGAGGAAGAAGAAGAAGAAGAAGAGGAGGAGGAGGAAACTGGAAGACAGATTGAAGCAGACATTGAAAAAGAATTTGATTTTTTGGACGATTTTGAACCCAGGAATAAACCCAAGAAATGAGACTGCTCAATTGGTTGTGAGTTTGTATTGGTTTTCTTTTGATACTAAAAGCTTGATGAGAATTTAAAGGTTATATTTTTGTATCTAAACAGTGAAGACATGTTTTTTAAGTGTTCAAGAGGTTATGGTACAGTTGCTGCTTTCCAGGGGAGTTGTCATGGGATTTATGATGAGTTGACGACTACCATATGACAACAATGAATTGTTCTCTTGTTAAGTGGGCATCTGAATCTAGAAGAATCACATATTTGTGTTTTTGAAATAGTTTGGTCTTTTACGGATTTCACAACTTATTTATTTCGTTACTAAAAGAACTAGACTATTTCATTGCATGTTTCATGATTTTTGTGTTGACTTGCATAAAGATGCCATACTTTATCATGTGTATTTAGAAACATTGCCATCATAGTCAGCTAATAATAGCGACCATTCATGGCAGAATTATTCTGGTTATTGGATTGTGAGTCCAACATGATTTGAATCTAATGTTATATCTTATGAACACGTTCAATAAGAAACTGCATTTTGAACCATATTCTGTGTAATTCTAAAATGTAAATATAGTTATTCTTCACCAACCACTGAATCAATATGTTGCATATATCCAGTATGAAATCTATCACAATCAGTATTTGAAATTAACTGGTCAAGCAATAGAAAAAACTATATATATTTGTTTTTTTATGGAAACCTTGTAGAAATTAAAACACTAAATGGAAATGTCAGGGACCTCATGATTGGCCTTTCTGACACAGATAAGGCTTTAGGAGATGTTTAGAGACGGAGAGAAATTAAGTTGTTTTTTTTAGTTTTCTTCTTTATTTAAACGGGGGTGCTCGTCACGCCAAAGACCCAGGTTTGATTCCCGATGTGGGTACAATTTGTGAAGCCCATTTCTGGTGTTCCCTGCTGTGATATTGCTTGAATATTGCTAAAAGCAGCGTAAAACCTTACTCACTCACTCACTTATTTAAACCAGGCATCATTTTGTGATCAGCCCCAAATTAATTTTGTTCAACTTAACTTCCAAAGTAACAACTGTATTGGACCTGTGTTTGCCTCTGATTTGTGAAAACATGTCTTTGTGACTGCAGAACCTATTCAGATTTTTTTATATTTGGAGGAAGCTGCATCTTGTCATCTGGCTGAATTCCTATCATGAGTTTCTCATTGATAACGTCAAAATATTTGATAACAAGTTTTGTCACAGCTGTGATGATAAACATGTGGGTACTGTGATTAATACTAAGTATATTCTCCATGTTGGATTTCACCTTCAGCGTGTTTACATGATGTCTTAGATCTCAAGGCCGCTCCTTGGGCTACACTGGTGCATTCTGGGATGTGAATAACTTAACGTTTATTTAATACCCTCATCAAGGATGACGATACTTTAAGCTGAGTTTCCTTGGTGCTTGGTTTTGTATCTCTCAAAAATTGTAAACAAAATCTTTTTCATTATTTGATTCCAATTTGGGTTTGGGTTTGTCACAATGAATGAAATCAATGCCAAATCATGGTCCACCTGTTTTCTTCTGTGGCAGTAGGGATATGATCTGACGTTGTGATTGACCGTATTCAATGTAATAAGCACCCAGAGCGCTCTCAAAATTAGAAATAGGGGCTCTTATTAGAATATAATTTTGGTAAAAAAAAACAGAATTGAAAGATCGTAAATTTTGTGGTTTATGCTGACGGCCTGAAATGTTTATATACGACAGATTTTTCCAGAATTGCATTGCCCATAATTAAGGGTGCGTAAAACATGTATAACACACGAGTGCGTATTATACACAAATATTGTGTACATTGATCAATCTGAAGGGGTGCTAATTAGGATTGTTCACTAATCAATATATAAGCAAATATCGCCGTTGGCGCTTATTTCAGTGGGGCGCTTATTGCGTCGAATACGGTAGTTAAAGATAAATTAGATCCAGAAACCTGCTGGAAAAGATATTTTGCATCAGATTTTACAACAAAATTGTTAACTAGAAGTCTTGAAGAAAATTGTATTGTAGGTCCCCAAGTCTTTTGTTCGCTAATCTTTTAGGAGAATAGCTGAATGTCTTATGAATGTCAGTAGTGACTAAAAAACTTCTGTCTCTAACAAAGATCCCAGGCGTCCTCCACCAACCACAACTCACCATCAGGGGTTGAGCTTCTATATTTCTTAACAATTGTCTCTGACACCTGCATCACTTCGGTCTTGCCTCCCACGTTACGCTGACACACCGTGATATAACAGGAATAGCAATCTCATTAAAATCAGATCTTAGTTCTCGCTGCCGCTAAACAAAGATCTGAGGACATCCCATTACGGGTCACGTCAGAATGACCTTTCTCGAATTTTGACCGACCAATGAAATGACTGACAAGAAATCGACATTAGCCAATCAGAAGGCAGCTTTCTCGAGCTTCACGACACTGGCGACTACACTTCAAAACATATTTTGAAGTAATCTCGATTAAAAAAATTAAAACTGATAAGAAGAACACTCTGGAATGGCTTATAGATGGCCTAGATTGTATGGATATAATCATAAAACTGTCATTCGGAATACCCCGTGCCAAATATTTCGTGGTTGCATGATTAGAAAACACATTCCGACTGTCACTTTCATGATCTGGTAAGCGACGCTCTGATTAGTCGGATGAAAGGTCGTTCTGACGTGACCCCTAATGGGATGTCCACAGATATTTGTTTAGCGGTAGCGAGTACAAAGATTTGATTTTAATGAGATTGCAGGAATAGCAGAGTTACTCACATACTCACATAACTATTGTCATCCTTGATGGTAGTCAAGCTCATATCAGATCATTTCAAAGTGCTATGTGTATCACCATGTATATTTGAGTTCATTCATGATGTAATTACTCATTTCCTTTATCTAGGGCTAATATTATCAACTTGTATAACTTCTCTTTCTTAGTTATACATGTTTAAGCATATAAAGGTTATAAAGTATGCATTGTTAGTTTCAATTTTTCAGTATCCTTTGTAGTGATTTGGTATGTTGTTTTAATGGCATATTTTTGGTTTGAAAAGTTTTGTTGAATGTAAATATATATATTGAACATTACCCAAAGTTCCGCGTAGTTTTAATCAAGTTTATTATTGTTTTTTGTTAAATCATGTTTCTGTTCAGCATGTTCTTTGATCAAGTTATTATTGTATGTTGTTAAACGTAGCAAAATATTGAAGTAACATTTAGGAAAAAGATCTTTTTTTTGGAGGGGGGTGGGTGGGGGGGGGAGGGGGGGGGATTCTAAAACTTAATGAATAGGTACCCTGACTTGTTGTAAGAGGTGACAAAAATGGAATCGGATGTTACAATGTCGATGAGGCTGATTCTGTGTCATCGTACCCCAATGGCATGGGTAGCTTATGCAGTCTCCCTCAGTGACTACATTGGGGTAGCCTAGTGGTTAGAGTGGTCGCTCGTCACACCGAAGACGCGGGTCCGATTCTCCAAATGGGTGGAATGTATAAAGCCCATTTCTAGTGTCCCCCACCCTCCTATTGCTGGAATAGTGCTAAAAGCTGCGTAAAACCATACTCATTCACTCACTCAATGACTACTGCATAGCTGAGAGGGGTGGCACATTCCATGAAACGATCTTAGCGCTACATCGATCGGAACTCCAATACTTCAACAAAGACTTACAACAGACATAACGCTAATAACACGTTTTGGACTGTGGCCCAGGGTCCGTTCCACTTAATGATCATAGCGCTAAGATTATTGTAACTGCTATATTTTAACACAGGCTTACGACAGTCACAGCGCTAAGATCGCTTTGTAGAGTGTGACCTTGGTTGTTTTCATGCCATTGTGATATAACTATAATGTGGGTGTCCGCAGTGTGGAATAACAGGCACTCACTCTCTCACTCACCAGATTATGTACTTAGGTATCTTATGATTGAAGCTGAATCGTCCGTAAATACAATTTTCAGGGGCTTTAACCGATAACGCATGCCGTCCACAAAAGTGCCCAAACACTAAGTTTGGTTCACTATGGCATTATCAGACTAAGTAAATGTGATTGCTGTCCAAGTTGTGTATTCATGGGTTGTTTATGTCATGGAAACTAATCGGGTCCCACTTTCTTTTTAATGATTTGTAGATATTTTCGGTACATGTTAGGAGTCATTACAGTGCCCTGGAATCTTTGATTACCGGTAATAGCCATGAAAGCTGATTTTTAAATTTTTTTTAAATTTTTTTATTCAGTCTTTAGTATCAGGTGGGAATTGTTTTTTCTTCTATCGACATGTATTCTGTTGGATGTTTTGGGTGTCGTCCGACTGTGAAATGAAAGACAGAGGGGACGAGGTATCGATATCAACCTTAGGATTACAAGGACTTGGAACCATCTTGTAGTGCTTCATGATTAATTCCTAGATTTATTTCTTAATTGTAATGAAAGATGTTGGAACATGTGTTTGTTTTATCACACATACAAGGGATATTTGGACTTCAAATGATTTTGGGACATACTGCTATACCTTGGAAATCATCACATTAGGGATACGTTCAGCCCTCCAGGTAGAAAGACTGCATCAAGGAAACAGTATTAAAGATAAATCTTGTGTAAAACGATGTAAATATTTTTTCCCTGTGAAGAATTATTACACACAGTCTGCACTTCATTGTAGAAAATGTTCAAATCACGTTTCATTTTTCTTGTCAGAATAAAAGGCTTTTTTAGATATTTTATATTTCTGTTTGAAAAGTGGTAGTTGTGGAACATAGTATTAAAACAATGATGGACAACAAGTTCTTAATGTATTTCTAGAATGTTAGTCTCTGCAGCTTTTGCAATACTAGTCAAGTCCCTGATGTATTTTTAAATGAATTCATAATGCAGGGTCAAAGGTCACATTTGTTGCAGAGCAACTTGAATTAGAGACTTTAAATTGTTTCATTCTTAAATACTCCAAGAAATTCCCATCATCTAGGTGTATTCCGATAAAACATTAAGTATACATCTTGTTTTATGTATCAATGTTTAGCTCTGTCAATTAGTGCTTTGATTTTTGAGTTTTGCTGTAAGACTTTATTCAGATCTTCCATCAGACTTTATCTGATTATTGTTGGTGTCAGAAGATCTCTCAACATCAGTGCTTATGCTAAAGTGCTGACTCGGGGTCATCCGTTTAATCCATGATGCACATACCTTTATTTATAAATTAATTATATGTAACGGATACAATATATGACTGTGATGTGCCGCTAGCAACTAGGGGTAGGTTTATCCTGAGATGTGTTTTGAGGTCGTTATCACCAGGATCTGCTGATTGTTGGTTTATATCCCAGATTTGCTGACATGACACGCCATCTTGGTCTGTCAGCACCAGACCCTTGCTTGTGGACTTTCACCAAAGTTGTTAATATATTGTCCGAGACTGGCATCCACAGATGTTGCTTGGTGAGATATATCACTACAGTGAATTGCATCCCAATGCTTTGTGGGGCGGTCGGGTAGCCTAGTGGTTAAAGCGTTCGCTTGTCAGGCTGAAGACCCGGGTTCAATTCCCGACATGGGTACAATGTGTGAAGCCCATTTCTGGGGATCCCCTGTCATGATATTGCAGGAATATTGCTAAAAGCGGCGTAAAATTATACTCACTCACACAATGCTTTGCAGGCCATTTTGACATCATCAGTTGCCATGACGTCACAATCAAGTGACATCACCAGTATCTCTGCCACAAGCTGTACTTGTACTATTAACACTCAAAATGTTGATTATTACTTGTAAACAGAAAAGGTCGGAATGATTTTGGATGATAAATAGAATCTCACCCTTGTGTCTGCCAAGCTCAAATATATCAAGACTCGTTGATACAAGTAAATATTTACTCAGCAAGCCTTGGTTATTTGTAACTTTTATCAACTCGTCTTGATATGTTTTACATTAGACGAAAGTTAAAGTGATTTGTCCAAAAATGTAATTAAAGTAGTCTGGCCTATTACCTGTTGAAACTTCTGCCTAATGCTGCACATATAGAGAATCTGACCCGAGTGTCTTTTGATATCAAATATATCAACACGAGTTGATATATTTGATATCAAAAGACACTCAGGTCAGATTTTATTTATCATCCAACATCATTCTTCCAACTTTTTCAGTTTGTAGACAGTAATAAGCAGTGTCTTAAGTGTAAAAAATACTGCTAACAGCTTCAGTAGCAGAGCCATTAGTGATGTCATTTGATTGTGACATCATGGTAACCAATGACATCAAAATGGTCTGCAAAGCATTATGATGCAATTTCATTGTAGCGATATCTACACTGTAGATATCGCTCAATCTCACCCAAGCGATATCTCCTGTGAGAGCCAGTTTTGGATGATAAATATAAGTGTTTGTGTGATAGAGTAGATTCATCTGAACAAGTGCTTTATTGTGATTGTATTTTAAACTGGGGTGCAGTTGCACAAGCGTGTCTTACTATAAGGATCATTGTTAGCCTATGCTAAGATGGCGATCATGACAGTCTTTACACTAAGTTACGTTTGTGGATAGCCTCCTTTCCGGTCCCTGGATAGCCTCCTTCCCGGTCCCTGGATAGCCTCCTTCCGGTCCCTGGATAGCCTCCTTCCCGGTCCCTGGATAGCCTCCTTCCCGGTCCCTGGATAGCCTCCTTCCCGGTCCCTGGATAGCCTCCCTGGACCATGTGTTCT